GGGGGGTGCAACAGCTAGGATTTCTATTTTAGTTTTAGTAGAGGTTTTACGGGGCTCACAACTGCATACGGTCATATGAGCGCCAGAAGATTAGAGGCGTTGCTAAAACAATGGGGTCCGAAAATAAATGTTCTATTTCCTCTACCGTAAGGTAATTCGGAGTCGTTATCAAGATAATATTCAAAGAATTGCAGTCGAAAAAGCTTGAATACTGTGAAACTAAATTTTTTTTTGAGTGTATCAAATTTGTCAAAACTAGGTACTAAGCAGATAGAACTTTATAATTCTGAAGTAACTACCTCTTAAAATACCCTCAACACCCTCAGCCATTACCTTGGTTGAATGAAAAGTTCACACGACAGAAATAAGGAAAATGGACAAAACAAGCTTGGTTTACAATAAAAAATTCCGTCCTCGAAACGACATGCGTGAGCCTTCAAGGGTGTACAACTCATATATACACAATGTATAAATTCTGGAAAACAAAGTATAAACGACAAGACAATGCCAGAGTCCGCAGTGTAGCAGGTAGACGCTTCGCCGCCACACACAGATGACATGGGTTCGATTCCTTAGCGACGAACTTTTTTTTCTTTTAAAAAAATCGAGTTTCTCCGCCGTTCCCTGGAATGTTGTATCTCTCGCATTTGTTTGTTTGCTTGTTTGAGTAGGTGTTTTACGGCACTATCGACTCCTATCCCTCTAGCCAGGGTGGGCAACATCAGGCAGGGTACGAGCAGCCCACCTTCTGAATGGTCCAAATTGTGTCAATGGGGGCGTAACGTATTTACAATGTCATTCGCTGTATAGTTTCATCGCCACTTTCAAACTGTAAGGTAATTTAAGAGGCGGGATCTCCGAATGTAACGTACATCTCTGATAGGGCTGAGTCAAACGGGTGGGGAGCCGTAAAAACTCCTCAAAGTAATGTAAGTTCAGAAGGCCCCGTTTGGGAATTCGAACCACAGCCATCCACTTCGTGGTCGGCATAACGCCAACGGATAATTTAAGAAAAGTTTTACAGCGCTAGTAACACAAAAGTCGCATAAGTGCCGAAGAGTACAGATGTTACTAAAGAGTAACATGCAAAGTAGAGAAGAAGAAGAGATTAGGACGATACATGTTGATAGGAAAGGGGGTCCAAACCACACCATAGCATCCGCTAACAACCCATGAAAACGTTTAATTCGTAACATAAAAAAGAACACGTCACTAAAACCAGCTTGACAAAAGTAACAGCGCTGATGAAATTTACTTCCCTGCACTTTATCAAAATAACGATTATAATAACTATTTTTACATAGCGCTCTATCCAATACAAGTATAAGCTCTGTGCACTTTACACAGATGGCATGATCACCGAAAATAAAACCTCAAACACACAAAAAATACCCATTTAATATAAACAACCCCCCCCCCCAGTTCAATCACATACGGAAGAACTTTTTCAGTCATTAATGATTAAAAACACATATATGGACAGCAGAGAAAATAAGACACATCAGCAACTGCCAACACACTCCAACTGAGACTTAAACAAATGAGTCTTAAGCAATCGCTTTTAAAACGTATTAAATGGCCGTTGTTGAATCGAAGTAATTGTCGAAGCCAAAGCTAAAAAAAAGCACCACTATTCTCAAACATAGCAAAATAAAACAGTGTCATTGCCCTTTTCTCTTAGCTGTCCAGTCGTTCACTGTGAGTCAGTGCAATAGTGAGGACATCCCTAAGGAACAGATTGCACTCTGTCCTTTTCCCCACTTCCACGAGCTAACAGAGCCCGGGGGCGGGAGAGAAAGAGGTCCGTGACCTGTGACAGCCAGGACAACGGGTGTTAACGAGCAGGATACGCGCATGCGCAGAGGTGAGAAAATCACACCAGTCCGGGTCAGGTACGCGCGGGTGTCCCCATAGAAACGGACAAAAAAGACCCACATTAACGCCTTCTCAGCTCAGTCTACAACGAAGGGCGGACAACGTGCAATTAGGGCCGAAAAAAATCAAAGTATGAATTAGGTTGAATATGACAAGATGCACCAGAGCAGCTAAAGATCGTAAACAACGGCCGGTCATTACACGCCAACCTCTGAGCCAGAGATAACACCTCCGGGTATCCCAGGTACAGATAGGTTTATTACCGCCATATTTGCTGGCTGTAACCCGGTTTGTTTGCTTGATCTGAGTACAGACAAGAAAAAGTAAGACAGACAGACAGACAGAAACAACAGAGGGAAAATGCAGAAGTATAAGTATAATGACCTTCAAGTGGCGCCATCCAACCACCCGCTCCAGCCCGGGCTGAGAGGGACACAGCATCCCAGCAAAAAGACGGAGATACTCAAACAACCACCTCCCCATCATGCGAATCGAACTCACTCCTGCGTGCTACGGCCACGAGCCTTGCCACTTCACCACAGACGATGGTATGTTAAGCGTCAGGGTGAAGAGTAGATTTTATTACACTGCAGTTACATCACAGGCGCCGTAGGTAAAACGGGTGTTAATAGAAGAATGATAGCTTGGATGAACAGGGAGATGGGTGGACGGAGAAATAGGATGGATGGATGAATGGAAGGGTGAATGGATGGATGAAGGACGGATGGAGGATGGATGGATGGATGGATGGATGGATGGATGGATGGATGGATGGATGGATGGATGGGTGGGTGGATGGATGGATGGATGGATGGATGGATGTGCTTTCCACCCCCCCCCCTTCCACACACACACACGCAGACATATGCGAACAACAGCGGGAAAGAAAAGTTTTGTTTTAGTAGAGGTTTTACAGTGCTCGCAACTGCATAAGGTCATATGGGCGCCAGAAGATTAGAGGTGTTACAAGAGATTAACAAACATAAAAAAGAAGAAGGGGAGATAAGGACCATAGAGGTTTGATAGGAAATAAGAAGCAGACCACACCAGAGCACCCGCCAACCACCCGCGGAAAGAAAAGAGGGACCTACTAGGTGCACCCCCGCATTAAACAACCCCCACATTCTTGCGCCCAAATAACACGACAGAGCAGTCACAATACATCTTTGAAGCGCTGCTGTAGTTTTGGGGACAAGAAAGGGGGGGGGTGAGGTGGGGGAGGGGGTGAATGCCCTTATTGCTTCACCAGCCAACCCATGCCAATTATCACCCCACCTCCTGAGCACCAACAAACATCTAGTGACATTTCCCGCCACCTCGGTGACCCGTGACATTATCTCAGCGTGTCCGTCGTCATGGAAGCTGGCAGGTGGCACGGGGCAGCAGAGGCCTCCACGACGACATGATTGCGACAGACATTTATGGCGCAAAGAGGCCGGGGTACTGGGGAGTGCACAGACAGGCAGAGACAACACACAGACAGTAACACATGTAGCTACTTATTTTTAAAAACCACCTGACATTCTGTCTACATGTCTGTCTGCTTGCTTGTCTGCCCGTCTCTCCATACATCTCTCCCTTTATCCATCTCTCCATCCATTCATCTGTTCTACATTTTGCTACAAGAAACCGAATTGCTACTAAGCCCCTCCTCCCTGATTTACACAAATTTAACAACAATTACTAAGGTCATTATCGTAATACGTTAAGCTAATGCTAATTCATGTGCATGTTTTTGGGTCTTTTTTATGGCGTTGTGGTGAAATCAAACGCTCGTCAATATAATAAAATAAAAGAAACCGACATTTTTTCCGCCTGTTTGGAAATTTTTAGTTTTTTCTTTTTCACTCAACACCTTTTATTTCCATTTAAAAACACATTTCTGTGTGGGTTTTACTGAAAAACGTTGAACAGAGACAAACAAAATGTAAATTTGCAGTTTCCAAGGACACTCCAGCTTTGGAAGTCTCCAAACTTAGGCGGCCGTTTGCACGCTAATTTTACCTCTGACACCAGGCAATTCCCACCTCCTTCAATCGCAAATATCTCCACTTCTAATCAAGATGGATGAGTGTATTTTTCTCATCAAGACTAAGTTTGTTTTAGTCAGAGTTTTACGGCACAAGCAACACAATAAGGCCATGCAAGTGCCGAAGATTAGAGTTGTTACAAGAGTCACAAACACAAAAAAAGAGGAGAGATCAAGGTGATAATTGTTTGACAAGAACGAAGGAGTAACCCACACAAGATCAGCCGCCAACCATCCGCCATCAAAACTAAAACTGTCATTTAGAACAGGGAAAAGTAGAACAGGCGAACAGAAACAACAGATAGACAATAATGATAAATAAATAGCATTTGTACAGCGAAAATCCCGCTCTACAACAAGCTCTATGCGCTTGGCAATCTGTATTATTACTCCAGCAGACCTGATAGCACTCTGAAAATATCTCAGCTTCCCAGGAGGAAATATTAGGAGAGAAATAGGACGCTACCAGTGGCGCCCTCCCAACCATACGTACACGAAAACATCCAGATAAGACCAGTCGAAAAAGTAATTATCTCCACATAATGTCACGTATTATCCTTCCATCAATGTTTCCTGAAAGTTTCATGTCAAAAGGACAGGAGTATGGGGGAAAATTGCAACAACAACAAAAAGTATTTTTTTAAAATAAATTAGTTTGCGAAAAATGACAATTATTGTGAAAATTCACTACATTAATCCAACCTCATGTTTTCAAAAGCAATTTACCAGATGAATAAAGACTTTCTCAATTGTGTCCATGCTATTTTTAGACCCCAAAAAATGGTTGATCTTCAAAACTCAGCCAACATAAATGTGCATAGCATGACACAAAATCTGCAAAATCAAGGGTCGCTCCTCCCTTTAAGGATGCATATTATCTGATCATTATGTCACGTATTATCCTTCATCTCCTGTATACATGTAGCTCTCTTATTTTGTTTTTTCAGGTTTCCACTTTTACGGCCCTTATGACATCTTTAAGGCCAGGGCTGCTCGCTGGCCCACGGGGGGCAGTGCTAGCGCAGAGGCTGTGGGTAAGTGCTGATTGGGTTTTTAAAAAGGGGGAAGGGAGAGAGTGTGTGTGTGTGTGTGTGTGAGAGAGAGAGAGAGAGAGAGAGAGAGAGAGAGAGAGAGAGAGTGTGTGTGTGAAAGAGAGAGAGAGTGTGTGAAAGAGAGAGAGAGAGAGAGAGAGAGAGAGAGAGAGAGAGAGAGAGAGAGAGAGAGAGAGAGAGAGAAAGAGAGAGAGAGAGAGTGTTTGGAAATTGTACAGATAGATTTAACGCCACTTTCAACATTGAAAGATCATTTAAGAGGTAGGATCTCCGAATTTAAAGTCCAATATGAACAAGCCAAATATGCAGAGAGTCTTAAAGAGTCCCCGAAACAACTTAAGTTAAAGTGAGTGCGCCTGATGTCGTTTGTTGCTGGTCCTGGTGGGGTTCGGACCAGGGGGGGGGGGGGGGGGATTTCGTTGAGGTTGAAGACGGTGATCAAGACAATCTCGACAATGATCACTACTCGTACGTTCTCCTCTATTTTCAATTCTTTTGTTACCAGGCAGACAGATGGAACAGATAAAGAGCGGGACTCTATTAACTACATTCTAGCCTATAAGCATCTAGTGTCCAAATAGATAGATAGATAGATAGATAGATAGATAGATAGATAGACACCAACATAGATAGTTTGTCATTCAGCCCGGCAGGCAGGCAGGCAGGCAGGCAGACAGACAGACAGACAGACAGACAGGCAGGCAGGCAGACAGGCAGGCAGACAGACAGACAGACAGACAGATAAAATATTAAAAGAGTGATTCTACTGAACTGCGTTTTAATACATGTAACAGAAAAAGGGGGTAAGAAAAAGGGGGTAATTCTTCTCAATTACTTTCTAGTCTAAAGGAATTATTATTCTGTTGCCCCGTCAATGAGAAAGTCACCTCCCCTTGCTTGCAGACCGAGACTTCCTGAACCGAGCGTCCGACGAGCAGGACTACTACAAGGTCATCTCCTACCTCAACAGCGTGGGGCGACGCAGACGATAGCCGGCGAGTCTGCGCGGGAGTGGCAAGACTGAACATCTGCAACTACAAACACAGCACTGTCCAAATGGCACCCGCGTGCCCAAAAACAACAGGTTTTTTATCGAGTCGAAGGCAGTGTTGTTCGGTTGTTCGTTTGGGTTTTTTTCATTTACTTTTGCCTATGCGCACTTATGATAAATTATTTTACAGGACAATCTTGACGACATAACGGATCCATAATTTCGCTTGACATTAGAAAAGTATTATTATCTTGTTTTGCGGTTTAAGCATGGAAGTGTGAATGAGTATGAAGAAGGCTCACAATACAACATGAGGAGGAACATAATGTTGTTGTGAATCGGGCCAAATCAACCAGTCATTGAAAGTGGGGCGAAAAAGTCCAGATTCCACAAAGGTCAGTTGACTTCCATACATGATGTATTTATCGACTATTCAAAGGCTACAAGAGTATTTTGAGATTGATTACGTACAGATGGGGAAACTGCGACTTTTTCTAGCATTTCGAAATGCTTTCAGCAGAAGATATCAAAAGCTAAATAGCAAGACTGGTTTTGTGGCATCACTCATTTTCCCCAAACAAGTCACATTCACACTATTAAAAACTGCACGTAAGAAGGTACCAAAACACGACACTGACATGGTCAAACTTCTGCCCAATCTGAGTTTAAGAAATTGTGAAGATTGGCAGACGAGGAAAGGGGAGGGAGGAGAGGAGGGGAAGGTGGCACTGAATGTCTGGCTGGTGCTAAATAAAATCAGATTAACAAACAAATTGTCCCCTGGCTTTCTTTTATTTCAACTGAGGGAGTAAAACCGGCTACCTCGATCGGCTTCGTCATGGGGCAGATTGTATCATCATCATGCTCTTCTTTCATCATCGAACGATTTTTTTTGGGTGGGGGCTCTCGTGGCCTAGACGTTAAGGTGTTTCTCTAAAATTGTCTCCTTTCACCTCCTTTCCTACTCTCTAGCAATGTTCTGTCGTCTGCTTTCGTCTCCTCTTTTTGCCCCCGCCACCTCACCTCGATTGCTCCCTCCTTTGGGCTCCCGACTCTTTCTGCAGCCTTTCTACTGCTACTCCTTGGCTCCTTCTTACCGCTGTCTTTCAGCCACATTCCTGATCTTCTGGTAGGAAAGATCTAAACCTAGCCATCTCGGACAAGGGCAAAAAATCTCAGAGGTCCCACGTGCAAGTTGCGCACGTTAAAGATCCCTTGGTGGTGATCCGATAAGAGTAGGCTTCAGCCGCCACCCGAACAAAATTCAAAAGGTCCTACCTACTGAAAAAGTTTAATGTGTCCAGCACGCTTATATGACCTTAAGCAGTTGTGAGCGCTGTAAAACACTTACCCCCCCCACCCCCAAACAAACGATTTTGCTGAGACACACCCTGAAAACGTCATCATATGTGCGAACATTTTGCAAGCAGTGTACTAGTTTCAGTTCAGTTTCAAATCACTTAAAAGGAGGTATTGGCCTGGCCCAAGGCAGGGAGCCCCATAACTCTACGGCAGTCTGGAGGACCTGCAGGGAACAGCAGCCTTCATACTCGAGACTGGGATGTCCGTTTAAAGATGAACAAAAACCAGTTTAGTTTTGAATAAGAAGAAGCATATTGACCCAGTAACGGTCATTCAGTGCTGGGAAAGGTAACATGTGCAAACAGAAACCGCTGAGGAGAAGAAAAGAAGTAAAAAGTAGGACCTACCAGTGCCCGCCCTCCAACCACCTGCAGGTACATATCCCATGAGATTGAGAGATAACAGTAACACAAAAAATGAAGTAGAACGGGCAGACCATAGCACACCACCTGCTTGGTAATTGAAACATTTCTAAATCATATCTAGACAAGCAGACCACGCCAACACCTTCTGTGTATCCAAGACATCTCTAATCGTTATATCCAGACAAGAGTGACAGTCAAAGCCAAAAACGCTCAAGAAAGAAGGTACGCTGAGAAGGCCAACCACAGCCATACTTTGTATTACTGTGCAAAGATTAAGTATCGCAGTGTCAATTTCATTGGTTGGCCGAACCAACAACACGTTGATAAAAATGAAAGGTAATGCCATTTTTTCCAAATATAGTCGAACCTGCTCTAATGGCCACCTGTATAAGAAGACAATCACCTGTGCAAACGGCCACTTCTCATTTCCCTCCATCCATATTTTTTACATTAAAATTAGACTGTGTAAGATGTCTACTTGTCTCAGATAAAACGTTTCTCCTCAACAATGGGTCTGCGTCATAGACAATACTGACTGTATTGCTGTGGCATTCAGATTATTTATAACACATTACAGTCCATGCCGGCTTTAAGCACGGTCATCGGGAGAAAGCTTAATCGTGCTTAAAGCCGAAGCGTGCTTAAGTGCGAAGTAGACACAATCCAGAGATTTTCATATATATATAGAAAATTCCCCGTGCTATTTCCCTTTGTTTGTAAGAAGGCCTATAGCGATCCCGCAAAAGTGTGCACTGTTATTTAGACACCCGCCATGGTAGTTTTTGTTCGCTTGATTGTTTTTGTTTTGTGGTCGAATGGGAAATGAAAACTTAATTTAGACGGCCAGTCACGATACAGCACACTAGGCCTACTGTAACACACTGCCTGTGCGTACCACTGCCCGCTGTGCCACTCATACCACCGCCTTCATCCCACCTCGCGCGTGATACACAATCAAGATTAATGGATAGCGAGGGTCAAAGGTAAAACCTCAGCCAGCCTCCCTTTCTCGTCTCCCCGACTCTCTTTGTATTTTTTTTTTTTTTGGTCGTGTGTAGCTTTGCCCTAGGCCTAGGCTAGATCCTATGTCCGCGCGCACGGCTGTGTGCATCTCTCTGCCTTCGTCTCCGCCCGTGTGAGTGTGTGTGTCCATCACTTGCGTTCTTTGTGTTTCTCTTGACACACTCCACTGCTGCGGTGTAAACTGTGTTCGAACTTCGATGGGTCATCATGAAAATATTGACTGTCTTGTCAATGAAGCGTGCTTGAAGCCGAAGTTACCGTGCTTATAGGCGTGTAATTTATATAGCAAAAATTTGGTAAGAGCCGTTTAGCATGCTTGAGTCCGAAACGTGCTTAAGGCCGGCGTGCTTATAGCCGGCACGGACTGTATAGCTTTCTCATTTCTCTCTATATCTGTGACTAAACACAGCTTATTGAGTTGGAGACTCATAAGTTTTTTGGAGAACAATCCTGCTATTCACTCACAACAGAAAATATAAACCCACATTTAGCCATTGTGACTAAAAATGTCAACGTTGGTCTTTGCTCGTTCCATACCAATCCACAATCTATTCATACCCAAATTCTGTTGTTTTTTTAAAACACCCCCCCCCCCCCCTAAAAAAAAACAACTTATGATCTTAGCTTCTTTCACGAAAGAAAATTTTCTTCATTTTGAAGTATGGCAAGTCCTCAGCCAGCTTCATTTATAGCCCACCTGTTAGACACATCGAAGGGAAAAATTTTAGAACAAAGGGGGATTTTTTAAAATTACTCATTTAAGCAAGTTTTTCTCAAAATTATGGCCAAAAGCAAATGACAAAGTAGTATAAACTGATCAAGACTTGTTCACTATTTCATTTTTACCTCCGGCCCCTTTCTAAACACACAGAGAAAAAAAAAGCTTTTAGTTTCAAGTCACCAATGGCCTGACACATCAGAGCTTTTACATGATTCGGTTTTTTTTTGTGGATTTAGTAAAGACTAGTACATCCTTTAATAAAGATTAGTACATTGATACATTAATGGTCATTGGAGGAGGAGGAGGAGGAGGAGGATAGTTCATCCAAAATGAAATGATGATGACCTTTAACATAAAAGGAGGAATAAAAGTAATGGACTTTACTAACTACAGCAGGTGAGGGAATTGTGAGGGAACTGGACAGTAAGTTAATGCGGGGTACCAAGGTCACATGACTCACCCGTAAGGAGCGGTCGTAGGAGGCGCTGAAGACCTTTGTGCCGTACGCCGTGTGGAGGACGGCCAGGGCGTAGACCGTGCCCGAGTGGCCCATCAGGGTCTCCAGCTGCTTGAAACTGCTCAGCTCCCACACCTGCACAAGGTTGGAGGTCCAGTTAGTTTAGTTTTAGAAAGAGATTTACAGCATTTGCAACACAATAAGGTCAGTTTAGTTTTAGTAGAGGTTTCATGGCACTTGCAACACAATAAGGTCACATAAGTGCCGAAGAATAGAGGTGTTACAAGAAGAGAGTAAGAAACAAGAAAAAAGAAGGAGGGGAGATCAGGACAATAGATGTTTGAAAGGAAAAGAAGGAGCAAATCACATCAGAGCACCTGCCAACCACTCACAAGGTCAAGTTAAGGTTGGTTTATGAGTTTTTGGTGGTTTTTTATTAGTAAGAGTTTTACAGCACTTGCAACACAGTTAGGTCATATAAGGGTTACAGATTTGAGGTCTTACTAGACGGTAACAGACAAATAAAAGAAGTCCTGTTTTAGTAAGCATGTTACGGCACTTGCAACACTATTACGTCGCATAAACATCGAAGATTAGATGTTACAGGAGAGTAAAAAACGTACACAACAAGGAGGAGAGATACGGAAGACAGATGTTTGATAGAAAAGAAAAAGCAAACCATATTATTATTATCAGAGCACCCACTAACCACCCACTGGCTTGTGTTCGAGTAAAAAGAAGCACATCAACACAATAATGGTCATTTAGGATAAGTATGACAGACAGACAGACAGACAGACAGACAGACAGACAGACAGACAGACAGACAGAAACAACAGAGGGGCAGTAAAAAGGTAGGACCTACCAGTAGCACCCCCCCTCCCCCCACCCATCCACCACTCAAATGAACAACAGAAAAGAAAACATGATCTGCTCAGCTTTTAGTTTTAGTAAGAGTTTTATGGCACTTCTCACACAATTAGATCATATTTGTGCTCCCCCCCCCCCCCCCACCGGGCAGAGCTACTGACTGAAGCTGTCTCTAGGTAATTCCCGAAGGGGGATGTTAATATGTTCCTATGCACAACAGAATTGTGCCAGAACAACATAGGGGGATCTGCTCCTTTTTCTTTCCTCATCCTTACTAGTTATTTTTCCTCTAATTCTTTTCTATGTTTGTCACTCTCTTGTGAACTGTTATTTCTGGGGTGCTTTGATAGTCAAAGCAGACTTTGTGCAGTTGAGGCTAGAGAGGTGGGCAGAGTAAACCAGATTTCCCGTTTGGGCTTCTCTGTTGACATCCACCCCTTGGCGCTCATATGACCTTATGACGTTGCGAGCGCCGTAAAACCTTACTAAAACATAAACATATTTGTGCCGAAGATTAGAGATGTTACAAGACATTAACAAACACAAAAAAGGAAGAGAGATAAGGATGATAAAGAGCAAACAACACCAGAGCATCCGCCAACCACCCAATGATCCACTCAAAGCCCCCTACAGATGCTGGTCGGAAAATCTTTACAGAATAAATGTGTTACGACGCGGTGGAATACGACGCTCGTCAGTTTTGGGGCATATGGAGATGTTGGTATCTTCTTAAAGCTTGCCAATTTGTCTGGCTTTTGATGGAAGAAATATTCATTTATCTTGGATACAAGTCAAGATATTCGTGATTGAAGGAGTGGGGGTCACCTGTTTTCAGAGGTAAAATTTGTGAGAAAATGGTCGCCAAAGTTGCATTATTTCCTTAGCTTGAGAGTCCATGGAAACTGAAAATTGACTTCTTTTATGACTTTAATCAACATCTTTCAGTAAAATCCACACAGAAATGTTTTCTTTAATTGGCATGAAAGGTAATGAGCCAAAAAACAAGTTTGATTAAAATTTCCAAAACTGTGATAAAATGCCAGTTTATTCACTTTAATTATTTAGACGAGCGCCTGATTTCATCACGCTGCCTCACAAATAACTTACGTGTATGCAGTTCTCGTAGGTGCCACAGACGATGTGGTGGTTGGTGATGGCGATGCTGTAGACGCTGCCGCCAGAAGTCTCAAGGTCACGCAGGCAGGTCAGACTGTTGATGTCCCACACCTGAGAGGGAACAGGACAGTCTTTGACCAAAACAAAATGGTGAAACAAAAATATTTTCAACGGCCTAGAGAGTACAAGAAAGCCTTTGCACCAAAATATTTTTCTCACATTCTCCACCTTAATGCTCTCTTACTGACAATTTTTTTCAAACAATAAATGACTCCAAGTTCTTATATGCATGTAGTTCCTATTGGCGCCTAAAAATGGTGAGGTGAAGACATTTTGAATACACTGTCATAAGAAAGTGCAAGACAGTCTTTGAGCAAAAACAATTATTGAGGCAAAGATGTTTTGCACAAACTGCAACGTGAGTGCACAGGTTAGTCTTTTTTTGCTAGGCAGAGACATTTTCAGTAGACTATAATCAATAAGAGTGCACAAGATAGTCTTTGAGCAAAGAAAAAATGTGTGAGGCAAAGACATTTTGAACAAACTATGACAGTGCATGCGACAGTCTTTGAACATCAAATAAATTGTGAGGAAAAGACAATTTGTACAAAATATATTATGAGAGAGTACAGGATAGTCTTTGAGCAAAAAAAAACCAAACTATACAAGAAAAAGAAAGAAAGGTAAAGACTTTTTGAACAGACAGCTGTCATAGTAACAATCGCTCATTTTCACAGGTCACTGTACAACAAGCTTCTATTTGATCAGAAACTTCATTTCAAGATTACTATTTCCAGTGTTGTTTTACACACCTTTTCAACACAATAAGGAGACTGAAAAGGACATCCCCCCCCTTAAATAAAAACAAAACATACATGACACACATCTAAAAGGGTGATAAACATTGACAAAACTAGCCTAAACTCCCACCCCCAACAAAATATTCTCCCTCACCTTGTTTTGTATTAGTAAGCACTTTAAGGCACTTGCAACACAATTAAGTCATATAAATGCCAAAGATTAGAGTTGCTACAAGACAGAAACAAACACAAAAAAGATGGAGGAGAGAAAAAGACTACAGATGTTTGATAGGAAAGAAGGAGCTAACCACACCAAAGCACCCACCAACCACCCATTCCCTTACCTTGACCGTCTGGTAGGAGCCGCTAAACAAGTAGTCCTGTGTGGCCGCCAATGCCCGCACCCAGTGGTTCAGGCCGGTCAGCTCTTGCTTCAGCTCATAGGTGTGGACGTCGTATACCTGGGCAACACACAGGTGAGGGGTGGTGGGGGTGGGGTGGGGAGACGGAGCGGGAAGGGGAAGGTGATTGGGGGGGGGGAATAGTGGATGGAGGGGGAGGGGGTAATGGGGGAGGGGATAATGGGGGAGGGGACAGGTGGGGAGGGGAAGGATTAACGAAGGGGAAAGGATTGACGGAAGGCAAAGGAGGGTTGGCAGGAATGGTGGGGGTTGGGGGTTGATGGGCGGGGCACAGTGTTGGGGAAGAGGAAAGGCAAATGGGAGGGAGATGGGGGTTGAAGAGAGAGAGAAAAGTTGAGTTGAACTCTACAGATGTAAAAGACCAAAACAAAAAAAAGATAAAATGGCAGAAATGAGAGACCAAAGTAAATAAAACATACACACATCTAAGTATCCTTTTTTTTCGAGTGACTTCTATCATTAGAAGGGCATCTTCAGCTGCGAGACTACAGTTTGTTAGTTTTAACTAACTAGGGTTTCTTCTCCCTCTGTCTATTTTCTCTCTTTCTTTTAATCTGTCTCTCATTTTCAGTCTCTCTCTTCCAATCTAGGTCTCACTCTCTCTTTCTGTCTCTCTTTCAATCAGTCTTTTAATCTCTATCTCTCTTTCTTTCGGTCTATCTTGCTCTCTCCTACATTCTCTCTCAATCTCTTTGATTTTGTGTGTGTGTGTGTGTGAGTGTGTGTGTGTGTGCTCATGCGTGCATGTGTGCGTATGTGTGTGTGTGCGTGTGAGCGTGCATGTGTCTGTGTCTGCAGGCCTGTACCTGTGAGTGCGCATATGAGTGCGTATCTGCGTGTGCACTCGTGCAAGAGCGTGTATGTGTGCATATGTGTCGGTGTGCATATGTGTCGGTGTGCATGCATGCTGGCCACATGTGAATGTGGGTAACGGTGTGAACATGTGTATATACATGTATTCTCTCCTTGTGACCTTCTCAGAACATAAATGACTCTGCACTTCCCTTCAGGGACAAAGCTTGTTCACCCAACATGGGAACAACTTCGTTTTGTTTTAGTAAAGAGTTTTACAACACTTGTAACACAAATCGGTCATATAAGTACAGATGTTTAGAGGTATTACTAGAGAGAAGGAGGAGCCATTGGATGATAGATTTATTCAAAGGAAAGAAATTCAAAGAAAGAGAGGAAAGAAAGAGCAAACTACATCCTAGCAGCCGCCCTACCACCCACTGGAATAACTCCAACAATCAGAAACAGAAATCAACATCCTGACATCAAAGCAAGAGACAGATAACAAAACTCACCCGGATGACCTTCAGTGAGCCGCTGAACAGCATGTTCTTGGCAGCCACTAACGTGCACACAGGATTGTCATGGGCCTTGATCAGATGGGAGCTTTCATAAGTGTCCATATTCCAAACCTGAACGCAGACAACAAAAATGTCATAAACTGAAAATTGACACATTTTCCAGCTTATTTAAACACATTTGGCAATGTTAAAGGCGGGGTACATAACCTTAATCAATCTGTGAAGCAAAACAGAAATCAATAGAACTATACAACAGCTACATCTCAGAGGGAAACAATAGCAATCATGACCATACTCCTTTGTCTGCCGTGTGAAAAAAAGTTTATGAATAAAAGTTAATATTGAAAACGAAAAGCCATTTTTCTCTAGGAACAGATAAAAATAACAAGAAGCCTGAAAAGAAGTAAAAGTCAGATCATACCAGAAAGTGAACCTGCTCCTCACTTCTTGAACTAAAGTATAGTACAGAGAAATGAGTTGAGCTGAGTTGCAGCTTGCCTGCAGTCAAAGTGACAATGAGAAACTATATAGGTTTAACCACCCTTGTTATGCTGTAAGGATGTTTAACCCTCTGAGCCCTGATCTCCTGAAGCTATCACGACCCATCTGCCTGACCTCCAAAATGATTCAATCATTATATTTGATGAAACTGCTTTATTTTTCACCAAATTGCATGTTTACAACTTCCACATGCCACATCAACACAGATTTTCCGGCAAGATCTCAGCATAAGTAAATATAGCACAGCTGTTTGGATTGGCCAATAAACACTGACTATTATAACACCCCACAATGTGATGCGGTCTTGCTCATTGGGCTCAGGCAATTTTACTTACCACAGGTGGCCGGGACTTAAAAGGTTAAGAGGCTCCACCCTATCTCTCTCAATGTGGACAGTACTTACAATGATGTTACAGCCTTGGGTGGGGACAGTACTTACAATGATGTTACAGTCTTGGGTGGGGACAGTACTTACAATGATGTTACACTCTTGGGTGTCCACAGTGCTTACAATGATGTTACAGCCTTGGCTGGGGACAGTACTTACAACGATGTTGCAGTCTTGGGTGTGGACAGTACTTACAATGATGTTACACTCTTGGGAGGGGGACAGTACTTACAATGATTTTACAGTCTTGGGTGGGGACAGTACTTACAATAATGTTACAGTCTTGGGTGGGGGCAGTACTTACAATGATGTTACAGCCTTGGGTGTCCACAGTACTTACAATGATGTTACAGCCTTGGGTGTCCACAGTACTTACAATGATGTTACAGCCTTGGGTGTCAAAAGTACTTACAATGTCAGTCTTGGGTGGGGACAGTACTTACAATGATGTTACAGTCTTGGGTGTCCACAGTACTTACAACAATGTTACAGTCCTGGGTGGGGACAGTACTTAAAATGATGTTACAGTCTTGAATGTCGACAGGACTTACAATGACGTTACAGTCTTGGGTGGGGACAGCACTTACAATGATGTTAGACTTGGTAGGGGACAGTACTTACAATGATGTTACAGTCTTGGGTGGGGACAGTACTTACAATGATGTTACAGTCTTGGGTGTCCACAGTACTTACAACAATGTTACAGTCCTGGGTGGGGACAGTACTTAAAATGATGTTACAGTCTTGAATGTCGACAGTACTTACAATGACGTTACAGTCTTGGGTGGGGACAGCACTTACAATGATGTTAGACTTGGTAGGGGACAGTACTTACAATGATGTTACAGTCTTGGGTGGGGACAGTACTTACAACGATGTTACAATCTCCGGTGGGGACAGTACTTACAATGATGTTAGTCTTGGGTGGGGACAGTACTTACAATGATGTTACAGTCTTGAGATCCACTGAAGAGTTTGTTCCCCCAGGTACACAGGGCCAGCACAATGCCACTGTGACCCTCCATGGTCTTGACACACTTGTAGTTGGAGCTGGTGTCCCACACCTGTACAGGCAAACAAAGAGAAGATGAGATTTTATAGATTTCCACATGTTGCAGCTTTGTAAATACATACACTCACACATGCTCATCAAACTCTCTCTTCTCTCTCTCTCTCCCTCTCTCACACACACACACAACATACACACATGAAGGCTACAGAGGAAAAAAATGACAGACTCACATTTTCTACTATTTTGAGTGATACCCAACAGCAGCCTCATAACACTCTGAAATGACTAATTTGCTTTGAAAAAAATACACAGGAAAAAAAATGTATCTGACTTTTACATCTAAAATTCACAAACTTTAATATCGAATACCTAAAAAATACCTAAAATGCAGAAAGAATCCTTTTGATCTCAAACGACTCGTAGCTCAAAAGATAGAGCAATCAAATCTTTTTGAGAAAACAAAGGGATTTAAAGCAAAGGACTCCAAATGGAGGACAGAATCATAAAGCAGGGCTTTCAAAACTTCAAAATATCGATAGTAGAAATGTTGCCTTCCACAGAAAATGTTCAAGAGTTTGACACGCAGCTTTAAATAAACTTTGTTGGATTATTTTTTAAATGCATCCCAATCTGGCTTGGAAAAACAAGAATTTACTTGTGAGCAGTTTATTTGATAAGAAGTGAGTTAAAAACCATCTCTGATAACATGTAACTATGTAGGTACGCACCACACACACGCACACACCCACACTCACATGCACACACACAGCCACACACTATCTCTCACACACGTCTAAATATACACACTCACAGTGACACATTCTCGTACACAGACACATACATACACATTATCTCTCTCACACACACACATTAACACTTGTGCAAACATTGGTATGTTTACCTAAAGCGAATAATGAGAGGCAAACAGGTATATGCAAATTTAAACATACACAAACATCCATGGTAGCAGAATCTGTAATGTACTCAGAAATACTTGAGCAAAACAAAAACAAGAGAAAGTTCTTTAACTGATCTACTCAAAACACTTGCCTTAATGGTTTTGTCAGTAGAACCACTGAACAAGAAATCTCCACTTGCACAGAGGCACCAAACTGGCCCCTGAAACACAGCGAAAATTACAACTAATTTCTTTTGTTCCTGTTTGAGTAAAGAGAAGCACACTGACACAACAGCAGGCATTTACTGAAAGGAAAGAGTAAGACAGACTGACAGAAACAACAGAGGGAAACAAAAGAACAAGGGCCCAACAGTGGCCCACTCCAACAGCCCCCCTTCACAGCTGATTTGAGTTGAAAGTCCCCCCCCCCTCCCTTAGGTACAACAACAACAATAACAACAACATTTCACAAGGAACAGATTTGGACAACAGAAACACTGGAGAGAAATATCAATCAAACTGCCTTAAATATCACTTTCACCAGGACAGAGAGTAGCTGACAAATTATAGCATGTTCATGTCATAAAAGAAACAAAAATATCTAAAAACTGAGAATTAAATGAGGGACGCACATTTTTCAAGGCTTCTTTCCCAAATAAGACAAAAAGCAGGGGGACTGACAGTTAAATTCTAAATAGGACATTCCTTGACCCATCCACAATTTTTTAGCCAACTGATGAAACATTTGAACAAGGGTCTTGGGAGTAAACCAAGGAAATGCCCAACCAAACAGGAGTACGACATCGGTATAATTCTATGATAAAGACTCATAACATCAGACTTTAACATATTTTTTTATACATAACTCTCTATAGAGCAGATAGAATTTGCAGTGAAACAAGATCCTTTATCAATATTGTCCACTGTGATTCGTAGTAGCAGCTTTCCAAAAGACATAGACAATGGTGCTGGTTGCAAATCTTGCTAAAATAATAAATATAAAGTGATAGTAGATCTAACGTTTTAACAGAAGAAGAAAGAAGGGCAAACAAGAGATCGACTGAAACTGTATCTCAGACAAATCAAATGTTTAGGTGAAAAATTTCAAAAGGCCAATTGACAGTATAGAAAAATAAACAGAATCCTCTTACAAAGGATAAATAATTGCCAAAACATGCAGTTGTACAGATTTGGGGCAGAATTTCTTGGAGTGGTACTTAAAATCCATTGTACCTTTTGCAGTTGGTTGAGCAGAGTCTTTTATTGCTCATAAAATTATTCTCACAGACATATCATCTAATTGCCAAACGACAATTCTGATTTTTTAAATTTAAGTAAACCTTTTACGGCACTAGCAACACAATAAGGTCATACAAGTGCCGGAGATTAAAGGCGATGAAAGAGAGTAGCATGCACAAAATAAAAGGAGGAGAGATAAGGATGATAGACGTTTGATAGGAAAGAAGGAGCAAACACACCAGAGCACCTGCCAACCACCCATGACTAATCTACATAACAAACATCTGAACCTTACCAAGTGGCCAACAAATGTTCCTTTGCACTTGAATATGGAGATAGGATCATAAGCTGAAATATAAAACAACACTTCCTTGACTACAGCATGCAAAATCTTTCATTCGGAAGGAAATAAATAGAAATATCGAGCAGCCTTGTTTGTGGGTTCTATTTTGTTTACTTGCCATTACTCATACAAAAGAGAGCACCCAAGTCATTCTGAAAGAAGCACTCTACTAAATGGGTGTAGTTAGAAGGAAGGGCTTTCAAAACTTCAAAATATTGCACCCAAAATCAACTTAATATATATGAAAAGATCACACATCCAAAAATTTTTTTAATGTCTATTTTATCATAATCATAAGCACAACAACTGCCATTATAAAAAATTAAGGTATCTAACCGTACAAGGTCATGAGGATAAACTGATCTTTGAGCCCAGAACTCACCTCCAGCTGTAGCTCCAAGGTTGATTCTGTTATTGATTTGTCCGATTTCTTCCTGTAAACATTCGCAATAAGAAAGCACTTAGTCAACCAGACAGTTTCGAATTTGAGTAAAGAGAGGCACAACCACATGATACTGATCAATTAGAACAAGAAAACAGTGAGACTAACAGAAATTAACAACCGAGGATAAAAGCAAACACATTATATCCGGAAGCTTTATTGAAAAATTTGTACGTTTAAAAAAACCTAATCATCAGGAAAGGGAAACGTTCTCTGAATGGCTCTGGGAAAAAATTTCACTTACTGTCATGGCTGAGATATCTCTTTGATTGTCAATGATTTCCTCCATGATTTTGTTCTGGTTATGCTCGACCACACCTGAAGAAAAGAAATCAGTGGAGAAACACAAATCAGTCCAGCATTTTTCACATACACATACTATTTAACTACTTTAGAAAAACACCAGTCTGGTCATTCTCAACTAGAACAACTCAGCACATCCGAATTAACACTTTCCTATTACACTGTGCTTAAAACTTTAAACCTTCCAGCCCTGGTACCTAGAGTATAAATGTACCCCTTGCACCTCTTGAGGAAAAACTAAAAATCATCTAATACGTGGCTCAGTGTAATTAAACATACACCAAACAATGCTATTGGCAGAATTACGTTATGAAAACATTAACCTTTTCCTGACCAAAGCGTTCGAACAGTCGAACAGCTAAAAAAAGGATGCAGAGAGAGGCACTTGGGAATTGACTCACTTCTTCAGAAAGCAACAGCAAAGAGCTTCATTGCTACACCACAGTTGCCGGTAAAGACCGGCATGTGGGAAACTCATTATCCACCTGAACTGGGGGCTGTGTAAAATCAAAAGCCAGTGCACACAGGATAGTTCTGCCGTAAGTTGACAAAACTTAATTTTTTATTCACACCATTCCAATAAAAAGAGGTTTTCGTCAGCACAACTATTGAAAATAGAGTTATTCCGAAATTTGATTTCAAATTCATTCGAAAACTAGTCAGTTTCACTTTGACTTTTTCACACAAGTAGGGTAACTGATCAGGCTTTCGATTTAGCAAATAAAATTTTTGGCGCCAAAATGAAAAAAAAAGGTGTCTTGTCAGCTTATGGCTGAGTTGTCAGTTTGGATTTCCGCCGAAAACCAGTCAGAGTTAGAGAAAAGAGAATCACATCAACTCAGTAATGGCCATTTAGTGCTTGGCAAAAGCAAGAATGACAGAAATGAAAGAAGGAAAGAAAAGAAGTTGGACTCACCGGAGACACCCTTTAGTTTTCAGTGGTAATAAGAGTTTTTGTGGAACTTGTGTCAAAGATGAGAAGTGTTACTAAAGAGTAACAAATAAAGAAAAGAAGGAGGAAAGACAATAATGACAGATGTTTGATAGGAAGGAGCAAACCACATAAGAGACCCACTGAAGTGACCATTATCTAACCGTAGAGGTTCTCTCTAATCACTTGCTTTGGCCAAATTAGAATAGTGAGACACAAACACAAACCACATACCCAACTTCATGTCCACAGACTTCTCCATATTCTCTAGCCTCTCTGAGAGACGACCCAGCATGGACCGCAGAAATTCAATTTCCTGAACTTTCTGGTTCATGTGCATCTGAAAAATGAACAAGTAAATATTTTATTGTACAGTTGGTACTCAGTAGGACTCACCAGTGACATCCTATAGTAAAGTATAGCCCCCCCCCCCCCCCCCCCCCCCAAAAAAAAAAAAAAAAAAACTGCCTGACCTAGTGCACAACATCAAGGGGTAACAGTCATGCCTCGCTATTTCATTGGAAAATTGGAATAATAGGAAGCACTGAAGTTGTATGAGCCTTCATTCTCAAACACAGAACTATAGAAAAGTACATTAACACAGTCCCTTCCACAAGTATCCTGAGCCAGACAAAAAAAGAGTCTTTGGTGGTGGTGGGGGGGGGGGGGGGGGGACGACTGGGAGCAAGCAAAATAGACGAACTGAAAAATCAAAAAGACAGTAAAGAAGTACAACCTAGCAGTGGTGGTCTCTAACCATCTGCAAAGAAAAGGGTAGAATTAAAACAAGCAGCACACAGAAAAAGAAGTCAACAGTTCCCAACAAAACACCAATAGTCTTACCTGCATGTCATTTATCCGTTCGTCAGTGCGCTGCAAGAAATCTTTCATGGACTCGAACTTGCAGACCTTCAGGTGATCCTCCAATTCCTCCTGTGTCCCCATGAAGTCGCAGCTGGCAAAATAGACAAGAGACTCACATAAATAAATACCAAGCTCTGTTTTCCCTTAACTTTTTAAAAATGGGGTTAATATTTTACACTGCTATCCACACAACTTATTTAGATGATTTTACAGCAGAGGTTTTTGCTCCATCCACATATACAATTAGAGCCATTTAAGACTGACGAAACAAAGGAAAACAAAAAAAGGGATGAAACAAGTTAAAAGTTTGTTTATGTTTATGTATAGACACAACTGCACTTGAAAGGTTCACGTTACAATCACATTAAGCCTGCCAGCATCTTGCTTGTATGTTTTGTTTGTTTTAGTAAAGGTTTCACAGCGCTCGCAACTGCATAAGGTCATATGGGCACCAGAAGATTAGAGGTGTTACAAGAGAGAAACAAACATAAAAAAAGAAGGAGGGGAGATAAGGACGATAGATGTTTCATAGGAAAGAAGAAGCAAACCACACCAGAGCACCCATCAACCACCGACGCTTGTATGTTTCAGTAAAGAGAAGCACATCCACACAATAACATTCATTTCGGGCAAGGAAAAAACATGACGGAGAGACAAGATCACCAAACGAAAAGAAAAGAAGTAGGACCAACCAGTGGCACACATCCTCAGACCACCCCACCTACCTGTATCTCTGATGAGGACAATTGACATTGTTGCAAGATCTCAAGTGATCCTCCAAGTCCTGCAAATGAAAACGCAGAAAATTTTTTCTCAAGTAAATCAACAGATATTACATTTTGAAAACGAAATAAAAAATGCCAAACTTTTACCACCACTACAGCATTATGTTTGAATCAACAAGTCGGTATCTCAGCCAGAGGTAGTTCTGCCGCTGGTGTATATAAATCAAGACAAAGGGGGACATGGAAGTCAACTTTTTTTCTTTTTTTTTTGAGTCACACCCAGTGGGAGCTTCATGATGCTACAGTTTCATATAATATTACATTATAAAAGGAGAAAAATGGCATGGTCTATGTAAAAATGTAGGGAGGAAAGTCTGCATCTTTCAGAAAAAATGAGGTTCCATACTTTCAAATAAAGATTTCTAAAAATCAAAAAAAATGTCATGACTGCTTTTTCTCACTAGCCTTCGTCTGTTTCCCATCTCCAAAGAGCACAAGTTATTGAAATCGTTTCTGCTGCAAGTAAAATGAGCCACTCCATTCAATATTGTTTGGCACAGTAAGTAAAACTTTTTACATCACAGTGCTGAGATGTAAACACAAAGAACTCAATCAAAAGAGCGGCAATAGAAATATATCCCTCCATATTACTATAATGGGACAAACAAGACAGTGAACATTTCACCTAAGACAAGTGCTAACATTTGGAGAAATTACTCACGACAAGAGCTAATATTTAGAAAAACAGACTTAAGATAAGAAGTATGACTTACTTTCTTAAGTAACAAGGGGCAACCAGCATTATTGGGGCATTCTACTGGCATGTAGTCGCAGTCCAACTCGTGGTCTCTGGAAGAAGAGAAAATTACAATCAGATTCTGAATACAGTAAAACGACACAAGATAGGTGTGTTTGTTTGGGTAAAGAGAAGCAAATCAACACGATTAAAGTCATTTAGCACTTGCATAAAGCAAGGGAAAAAAAAGGTTAAAAAAGAGAGAGATAGAAAAAAAGGACCAGCCAGCTGAGCTCTCTCAGATATATATATATATATACACGTATATATATTGCCAGTGTCTGTAACCCTGTATCCCCAAAATTGGGTGACTCTCTGTTCAAAATGGACTTGACATCTTATAACATTCTGCTAGAAACCAATAATTCCAACACACATACTTGCGAGTGTGAAGCTTGACTGTCACTGGACATCTTGTCGTGTCCACTATGTACGTGTGAGAAGCTTCGTCGTAGGAGCAGCCGTACTTGCAGTGAATCATCAGTTCTCCTATCTGCTCAGACACAGCAATGTTGGCCACCATCACCACCAGCTTCTGGTCATCCACCGGACACGTTCCTGTCGTGAATCAAGTGAGGGGATGGAGAAAAGAAATAATCAAGGGGATAGTACGAATGAAATAAACTGAAGTCAAGACACGAGTCAGGGGATGGGGAACAAATATTCTAATCAGGCACGAGTGAATGAAACAAACTGAAGTCATGACGCAATTGGGGGGAAATAGAATAAAAAACTAATCGAGACTAAAGTATGAATGAAATAAACAGAGGTCATGGCTCAATTGAGGGGATAAGAAAAGAAACTAATCAAGGAGTGTGTGAAAGAAATAAACAGAATTCATGATGCATTTTGGGGATGGAGAAAAAAACAACTAATCAAGAATAGAGTCTGCATGAAATAAACTGAAGCACAGCAACATGATAATGGTCATTTAGTACAAAGGAAAGACAATATAGACAGACAGAAACAATAAGGGGAAAGAAAAGAAGAAGGTTCTACCAGTAGCACCCTCTATTTTATTATTTATTATTTAGAAGAGGTTTTACGGCACTCGCAACTGCATAAGGTCATATGAGCGCCAAGGGGAGGATGTCAACAGAGAAGTCATTACATGTAATCAGGCTTACTCTGCTCACCTCTCTAGTTTCAACAGCGCGAAGTCTGTTTCAACTTTCAAGGCACCCCGGAAATAGCGGGTCACAAGAGTGTGACAAACATACAAAAGAAGTAGAGGAAAAATGACAATAGTAAGGACTAGGGAAGAAAAAGCAGCAGTTCCCTGTTGTAGATCAGGCACAGTTATGAGTGTGATATTGATGAATCAGCCCATTTACAATTCTACTAAGCATGAAAGAGAAATGTCCCCCTTTTGGGAATGGCCTAAAGACATTTCAGTCAGTGGCAACGCCCCCTGCGGGCAGTGGCACCCTCTGACCATCCGCAATTGATCAACAATCATAAAATCAACAAGGTACAAACTATTGGGAAGAAGTTGAGTGCCAAGCCCCTTTGTTGGATGTGATAGTTTACGTATGAGGGAGGTGGTAGGTTACGTACGAGGGAGGTGATATGTTATGTATGAGAGAGAAGACATTTGAGAGAGGAGATAGGTTATGTATGAGGGAGGAAAAAGGTTACGTATAAGAGAGGAGATAAGTTACGTATAAGGCAGGTGATAGCTTACCTATGAGGAAGGTGATAGGTTGCATAAGTGTTTGCACAGGTATGGTAGGGATAATTTTTTTTGTTGAGTTGTAATTTTTGTGCGAGTCAATATAAAACAGCCAGCAGAGTCTTTGGTGAAACAGGTGACCGAGGACGACATGAGGAAGTGAAGGTACAAGACCCACAGTTGCAGAAAAATGTTGATTAAAGGCACTAAAGCTGCGGAAGTCATCAAACTTTGGCAGCCATTTTCTCGATAAATTCTCAACAGTCTCTTGAGAAAACAATTTTAGTGCAATAAAGTTGACGAACAAACCACAAAAAGGCAGTACCACCCAGCCAGCCACATCCTTGACCATATTTAAAGGATTAGAGCAAAACTCATCGCCACAATTGTGCCGATCTTAAAGTAAAGGGGAGAAAAATCGAAATGACCAATAAAAACAGACATTGTCAAGCATTTTCGTAGCATATTTATGAAAATGGGGAAAATCTGGATATTAAGCTAGATTAATAAAGAAACATTTTATTAAGTGAGAAGTACATCTGGTTATAAGTGTACAACACAAAATATTTTAGGCGAGCTGCAGTTGAACTTGGACTAATGGTCACCATCCAAGACAATCAGCGGTACAAACCAACGCTTCCCCCTTTCCCCTTGCATTTTTCTCTAGATAGAAACACTGTTCAAGACATCCACAGTCTAAGAAAACCATTTTTCTCCTCAACAATGAGTGGCAGTCCTGGACAATTCCGACTATTTTGAAATTGCAATACATTATCAAGAATTCCAAAATCCAAATCAAAAACACCTTTATAGCCACAACAACACAATTAGATGCTAGATATCTTCACATAGGAAATCACAGCAACTGAAGACAGCGATGTCCCCATTTTCACTCACCATCAACTCGATTTTGTACACATGGTCTGCAGTAGGTGTGCTGAAAACAGAAAAAGACAGCATAAGGTCAAAGTGCATGATTTTTTACATTTAAATGAGAATCAATTCATTTTCTCTCTGGAAATATTTTTTCAAATGAGTAGTCGTAATCCTACTGAACAGCAATGACCATACAAATGCTCCTGTCAATACAACAGACAAAGATAGCTGTCCTTCTCTCCCTCTTCCCCACTTCTCTGATCCTGCAACCATCTGAATTCAAGCCCTTCAACCAAACATCACTTACTCTAAATATGCTAGATCTAATCATTTCAGAACATTTTTCTTTGTAACCTTGAACAATCTTTTAAAAAGCCATGGCGGAATTTCTTTAAAGAAACTTAACAAACAGTGAGTTAATAGAAAGCCTTAATAAAATCTATAGACAGGATATCAAACATCCTCAACAAACCAAATGTCCCACCGACATCTAATAATGTTACAAATATCACAATGGCTCTCAGATGATCATAAAGTTTTACTTTATATCAGATATCTGATTCATTAATTTTCACATGAAGATTTAGGACTAGAGTAGACCCTGGGACACTTTTAACACTGTTTGTATGTTTAAATTTATGTTAGAGATGTCTCCTCGACACCACAAACACAAAAAAAATCTTACTGGTACACTACTTATAATCCAGATCTTTGTGCAGCTAGTTTAAAGTTTTAATGATTTAATGACTCACCCCACATGCAACAATCACCGGGTCTCTAAAAACTTGATCACATATTCGACAAAAAAGTTTTTTGTTTGGGGGTTCCACAAACACCAAGACTTCCTGAAAAAAACAAAACACAAACGACTTATCAGAAAAATGTTTCACGCATACCTACTACACACAAAAAGATCAATAACATCGTTGTCTTTTCTAATATGCCTGAGGCAAATCTGGTTATTTTTCAGGAGAAATTAAAAACCAGTTTTCTAGAGAACACCGCAGGAGGAAACACTTGCAGATTCGTCAAACAAGTCTACAACTGATCCTTTTTAAAAAAACAAAGAGCTGTTGATCACAAAACTGGAACCATTCAGAATCAGCCGGCCATTCATAAGTACTAACTAACTACCATCCAACAATTTTGACTGTACTTGCACTCTTCATTCATTTGGGATTGTTTTGACGTACGGTAGGGCTGGAGTCTGCTCGATTAATCGAAGGCTTGCGAGCAAACGGACGGCTCGTGCCAGAGGCTTGCGAGCGGGCTTGAGTCTTGCCCGCTACCGGAGTTGCTACTCGTGGACGGCGGACGGGCTTACTGATTTGTGTCGTGACGTCACAAACTCTTGTTTACTGAGCGCGCGATACTTCTGCCCGCGTGCCGCACGTTGACAAGCCCTAAAAAAACCCTCACACTTCCAGCGATGGCTCTGTTTGGTGAAGGGAGGGGGTGGTATGGCTGGGAAAGCGAGAGGTGTTCGCCACCCCGACCTTTCCTTAGAACCCACCCCTCCCCTTACGCCTCCTAGTTTGACAGGGTTTTATTTGTCTTGGGTTTTTTTTGGTTTTTTTGTTCAGTTTTTTGTTGATTAAAAAATAATAATTTTGGTGGGGGGAAGGATTATGTTTTGCTTTATTGATTTTCTGGGCGTAATTCGACATCATAATTAATATTTGTATGATAGAACAAGCACAATACATACATAATATCAGTTACAGTGCAGCAAGATGTTTTTTTTTAAGTTATAGGCCTACAATGTAATTAACAATGTGATATAATTTACCTTAACAATGGTCTTCTGATAGGGAAGCAGTCAAATCAAAAGTTGTTTACATTGTTCAGAAACCAAATCACGATTGTCATCCCCTCTCCAATGCATTCTCTTCAACTTCCTCTTCAACTTCAACTTGTTCTAAGTGTCGGGGTGGGAGTGGAAGTGTAGTTTAGGTGAGTGATTAAGTTACAAGCCACGGGATGCTAATAATACTGATTTATTTTGTCAGTTAAAAATTGTTTGTAAGTGTTTCACACCTTTATTCTGCGTCCTAAATAGTTTAGCATACCGCGACCCCAGTGCTTTTGTGTCGTATCTCCATTTTTAATACCAGTGAAAACAGCTCATAACAAAATGTGAGCCTATGAAGATGTCACATTTTCACTGTTAAAGCACCGAGGTCGCGAACGGTCTGCACTAGGCTATTACAGCCCTCTTCGCCTTGCACCAAAACCAGCGCTGCCTCTCGCTTCCTCCACGTCCAGAGTTCAGAGTTCACGCCGCGAGCGGGGTGGATTACCGGTAGATCTTGCGTCTCGGTGCAGACGAGCGGTGTTTGCCTGACGAGCAGTGTTGCACTGACGAGCGGTGTTGTCTTGCCAGGGCGGTAGTTGGACTCAAAGCAGATTTATTGGCACGAGACAAAGCCCTTAGCACAAAGCAATACGAGACGCAAAGCAGGTCTTGGGACCAAGTGCTTTGCTGCGATTTGAGTCTTGTCTGCCGTCCGCTGCTCGTATGCCTTCAAATAATCGAACAGACTAGTTTGTGGCGCAGTGACACTGTGCGCGGGGTCTCTCTCTCTCCCCCCCCCCCCCTCCTCTCTTTCTGACATTACGGGTTTCGCGGATTGCTAGCAGGGAGGGGAAGGAAGAGGGGGTCAGACACGAGTGGCTTCGCGGATTGCAATTTGGTGTGTGTACTTGAAGCTTAGGCTAGACTCAACGTATCATGCTGGTGATTTGATTTGATGATTTGACCTAGTGATTTGAGGCTTGTGACTTGAACTAGGGTCTTGCGAGCGCGAGCGTGTTTGCTACCGGGGTACAGCCCTAACGTATGGTAAAAGTATCCAGCTAGCTTTAGGTGTTTTTGTTTAATCACTGTTCTCCTAACACTGTCCTGTGTGAGTGCAGTGCAAGTAAAGTAATTTGCCACTGGAGGGACATAGAAGTAAAAAAGAACTGACTGCTCTAAGGGTTAATACATTTAATGACAGTAATAGGTAATGAATTAATGGTTATATGAAGCAGTAAGACGGCCCTATAACTCATTTTTACATCTCCATAGAGAGTCCACAGTGCAAATCATAATATAGTTTTTGTATAAATACAGGTCTGTATTGGACATATGAAGTTATATTTGAAAGGATTACCGTGCATCATAGTAATTCCTGACAAGAGTGTGTGAAAAGCCTTACTTAAAGAGATACAACTTTCTTTTATTCAAGTAAATGCTCCCTAGATACACATAAGACCTACCAGTCATACCCTTCTATCATCCAAACAGATATGATAACAGTTCTATTGGTACTCACTTCTTCTTCCCCAACGAGAGAATGACTTGATAAATTGGAACTTGCTCTCTTGGGAGAGGAGTTTGGCACCATCAGTGAAGCACCTCCACTATTCTGAAAAATACCAGAACAAAACATTGTCTTACCCCTCTTCTCTTAGCTGTCGAGTTGTTCACAGTGAGTCTGTGCAACAGTGTGCACATCTCTGAGGTACAGAATTGGGAAAGATGGTAAATGTTTTACACCCCTATCGAGCTACACTACAACAATTACACATTTGTATAGCACAAATTCCCATTCAACAGCAAGCTCTCTGTGTTTTTTTGATTAACAGAAAAATCTTAGCATTTTACAATCTACAAAGTAAAGTAGTCAAGTAAAGTAAGAGACAGCTGCTTCAACCCTGCGAGTCAAGACCAACCATGGCTGAGTGGGGTACAGCAACTCTGCAGGCAAACAGAGATTTTCAATTTTTAAAATCCTCTACACTCAGGATACAAATTTTAGTTTTAGTCTTCTGCATGCAACAGCAAAGAGACTACCCACTACACCATAGATACCACGAGTACAGATTTTGACAGGAGTAATAGTGAAGAAAGCCAACATGGCAGACCCCAATAATCACCCGTTTTTCTCAACTATTGAAAAACTTATAACAGTGTAGGCTAGAAAAGACAAAAACCTTCCTCAAGGACAATTTAGCAACACAGGCAAATACTCTGGTACATCTAATAATACCTAACAGAAAAAAGATAAAATATAATAACTACTATAACAGGACAAGAATATGCAGACTGCCCAATAAGTACAGAAAAATGATTTAAGTAAAATATATCTGCTTCTGAACTGTATACACTTTACAAAATTTCTAGTTAGACATTCTGTAATTTTCAAGGGACAAAAGTAACAAAATTCTCCTTCTTCTGCTTACTTTACTTTTTCTTGTCCACTTAACAACCTGCTTTGCCTTATTAAAATACCATTTTAACCTAATTATTTACACCTAATATATATACTAAACTTTTACAAGATGTACTACCCATGAATTCTCTGTTGGTCCAAACTTTGGAGATGCATTAGCTGACATAATTCCCGATGATCTCATTTCTGTTGGCCTCGAGTCAAATACATTGTCACTATCATCCGCTGTGAAAAGAGGGATAACATGGTAATTTTTTTTCACAACAAACCAATAAAAAATATGACTTTTCCTTTTAATTCATTGCCAAAATTAATGTTAAAACAAAGCAGCAGTCAGTGTAACAATAACTCAAGTGATCAAGAACAGAACCTTATATTACTTTTCATCCACGTCTTTCACATTTCATAACTAAATGACCTGTCTTCTCCACAAGCCAATGGGTATTCTGTCGTTAAAGCAATCTATAATTTGATTATGCAATAAAATGCAGGTAAAAGCAAAAAATAATGTGTCGTTACAGTAAGCCAAAATATAATGATTTTACATCTTTAGAGGGATTTTAATGTGGGCTAAGAAGCAGGGCCATATTCTCGGTAGGTTCTTGTGTAAACTAAATGCATGCATGCATTAACAGCAAGCTTTTGTGAGATATTAGAGGGCGTCACTAGTTTTGTAAACTCTGGAATATTCAACTGTTGCAGTGAGAATTCAATCTCAAACCTCTTTCCAGGTACTCAAACCCATAACTTTTGGTATGTATGGCCTAAAATGTCAGAGCATCTCCGGTACACAAAAGTTAAAGAAGAAGAATATATGCTTCTGATCAATGTGTTAAAAACAGAAAAAAGTGGCGCACAAAAAATTTTTGACAGCATGTAACCATATAAAGGAAGTAAAAATAATTTCTGGGACTTACAACGTTTAATATTAACTTTTTTTTATTACCATATCTCAAATCTGGAACCACAGGTGGGCTCTGCACAAAGTCGCCATTTTCAAATCGTGGGTTGTCCATGTTAAACTTGTATCAAACAATCACATTAGCTGAATTGTGTCAAACAACCATGTCACCTGAAGAAAATGTGATAATTCAAAAGCAAAGTATTTAAGCCCCCATATCAACACATATCATGATGACCAAAGCCATTTCCTCTTCTTGTAAGACATAAAGTAGATTTTACCCCACTGATGACCCATAATGTTGTGCATTAGACCAAAGAGGTCAGGGCTGGGGGGGGGGGGGGGGCTAAAAACTGTAAATAGTAAGCCTTGGAACAATCACTACAGTTATTAACTGATTACTGCCATTTTTCATTTTTAAGACACAATAACAAAGTAAAATCTTTCTGTGGAAAAAGAAACCAACAACAGCTGAAAATGTAAAAAAAAACGTTTTTAGATCCCTCTTGTGTGTATTAGAGTTAAACCATTCTGACAAACAAAAATGATTATATAACATTATATTAGTTATATCCCTTTTTTAAAAAGTTACACGCCTTTCTGTATTTTTCTTAAAGGTGTAGAAACAAGATTCTCAGCTCATGGAAAGACTCAGCTACCTTGCAATTCTGGAGGTGTAATCATTCATAATATTAGTTTAGTTTTAGTAGAGGTTTTACGGCGCTCGCAACTGCAGAAGGTCATATGAGCGCCAGAAGATTAGAGGTGTTACAAGAGAGTAACAAATATAAAAAAGAAGAAGGGGAGATAAGGATGATAGATGTTTCATAGGAAAGAAGAAGCAAACCACACCAGAGCACCCGCCAACCACCCACATTCATAAAATTATACCATGTCCTCTCCTTTTCAACCCTAGAACTTGAAGAGCCCAACAGAAGCACAAGAAACCATTCCTAGAGGAGCAAACACTATGTGGGCACTGCTTTCTTGATTTTTAACACACATGAAAGGAAACAACAGTTTGTGGACTGGCATTGTGCATGTCTTTCAAGAAAAAATTGTGATTATTTGAAACTTATTTTGTTTTGCTTTTATTAGGCTAAAAGGTAAGGATCGCACTTTAGGCTACATATTGAAGTCAGGCTTACAGAGAACATGAAAGAATCAGGGTAGGCCTACAGCCTAAAAAGAAAAATGATTTTAAAAAACATTTAATACTCAAACATTGACTGTTGACATTGCTGGCCCAGTGCGTTACTCCAGCAATGGGCAACAAGTGCTCTTTTCAGCAGTCTTCCCATTCTGTATGTTTAAATATATTTCTGGAAAAAGGTAAGGGGTAGGGATCTATAGGGTCTATGTAAAGTTATACTTTTACCCTATTCCCTGCTCCATTATGCCTACAATTAACTTACTGAATTCAGAGAATGTCAGTAAAATATGCAGACCTGGAAGAGAGTGCCAATTTTTCAATCCAACATTTTCTTACACTTGTAAGCCATTTTTCTCCACTTTCCATTTTATTCAGACTCAGATTAGGAGAATTCAGGTATATGATTCGGATTTGACCACCACATCTCAAGACAATTGTTGTTTTTGTGAAGAGTTCTATAGTTCTATTGTGATAAATTCACATTTGTAATATTGCACTCTCAATTTAGCAGATTCTGCCCCCCCCCCCCCCCCAAATAGGCTAAGGGGGAGGGGGGTTCCTGGATGCATGACCCCAGTATTTTGGAAAGTCCTGGGAGTTTTGATGGTTAAATGGGAAATGTGGTCATCGAATCTTATCTTATTACCCTCATTCTCCAAATCTGAATAAAACATAATGATGCTTTGATTTCTAACTTCCAGCACACTGTTGCTCTTTTTTTACCCCTTCCGATCAAATCTGGATAATCCAGTCTTGGCCCCAACGATAACTATTGAGTGTGGGTTTTGGGTACTCCGACGATTACCTCTGGTTCCCAATGATTACTTTCACTGCGCATGCAGACATGATGATTGATGCATGGCAAGCGAGAGAAAATATTAAACCTTACTATTGCAAAACATCAAGTTATGGTTAAAATATGGGGGGGGATGCAACCCTGAAACCCCCCATAGGCCCATATATTTTTACAGGTCAAGGGGGCGTGCACCCCTAGAGAAATATTAAACTCATTTTGTACTGACTGAAAAATAGCAGTGCATCTTCTTTGGCTCTCTTTCGGATTAAAACCCCCATTGATACCGAGTATTAATAAAGTCAGTGTATTGACATGCCAGTACTCTTGGGGCCAAAAACGGAGAACGCCATCAAATCCAGAACACTGTACTTGTACGGTAGGCCTAGTCACCTACATTTTTAATTTTAATCTCAATTCAGTTTCCCTAGAATTCAGTACTAAACCTTGTGACACATACATACGGGATAATCTGGTTTTGGCCCAACGATAACTTTGGAGTGTGGGTTTTGGCTCCACCGATGATTACTTCTTGTTTTAATAATAATAATAATAATAGATAGCATTTGTATAGTGCAAATCCCCGCTCAACAGCAGGCTCTATGCGCTTTACACTATATTATTACCCCAGCAGACCATAGAACACTCCGAAACATTCTCTATGCGCTTTACACTATATTATTACCCCAGCAGACCATAGAACACTCCGAAACATTCTCAGCTTCCCGGGAAGCATACAGTGCAAGCAGCTGATTAAGCGCTCAAACACTAACAAACTGACAAGATCTTTCGCTGTCTATAGCCGGGTACCCATTCCCACCTGGGTGAAGTGAGGAAAATTCGTGTAAAGTGCCTTTCCCAAGGACACAACGTCGGGCCCCTGACGGGATTCGAACCCACGACCTTACGGTTGCGAGTCCGAGAGCCTAACCACTAGGCCACCGACGCCACTAAACAATTACTTTTCGACACGCGTGCCGATATGATGTTTGGCGCTCGGCGAGCAAGAGATATCAGACCTAAATCTACATTCGAACCCGCCATGATGGCCACCAGTATAATACGGCCACCTGTACAAACGGCCACTTTCTATTTCCCCCTTGCCTTTAACTGTCATCTGTCCAATGCGGCCGCCTTATTGAGGCTTATTTTATCAACCTACAGCCAAATTTACGTGCCTTAAAGACGGCCAGGTTTGGTCTTGCATTGCTTGATGCTTTGCCATAAATTTTAAATAGAGGCCCCTGACGCTGAGGACTGGCCATCGTAATCCATTCATTTGTCATTATTGTTAGTCCCTCCAATGAATGTTTACCCAACTTGACCAATGGGTAACCCAATAACTTTTCAACTGCTGTTGAGGGAAGCGTATGATCCGTCATAACCTTTAGGAAGAGGCTAGCCGTACTATGACGGCTAGACTGGCAGTCTAGCCGTACTTATTCTAAATATGATGGCTAGACTGACCATTTAAAAAAAATAGGCCTACTGAATTGTAAATATAAATTTTTAGTGTGCAGTACCTAAAGTATTTGTATTTGAGACGAAACCAGGTGCCTTATTGACAGAGCATATGAATTTTAAACCTCCTGTTTTCTAATGTTAATAGGGCCTAAGATAAGTACGGCTAGACTGGCAGTCCAGCCGTACTTAAGTACGGGTAGACAGCTAGGCTAGCCATACTTAAGGACAGCTAGACTGGCAGTCTAGCCGTACTTATCTTAGGCCCTATTAACATTAGAAAACAGACAAAAGGTGCCTTACTGACTTGCATGTATTTGAACCAGAATGATTACTAGATCTAGATCTAATGAGACCTTTGTACTTAACAGGCTTGAGTCGATAGGGCCAAACCTAGATCTAAGTACGGCTAGACTGCCAGTCACTGGTCCCTGTTTTGGGTACCTAATTTGCAACAAAGTAAAGTAACAATGGACGTTCACGTGAACTTGCAACAGAAGCGTCGCTCGTTCTCCATTGTAATGTGGTGGCCATCCAGAGTTTTGTTTTACAATGACACTCGGTCATCATCATCTTACATACTTGCACAAAATCAGCAATGCAAAAACGAAGCAAGCCAAAAAGAACTAAACAACAACCCCTTTTTTTTCAAAAGAAAAGAGCACCCTTTAGAATAAGAGCCTTACGGCAGTAGCCTCTAAAGCAGGCTAAGATCAGCCCCGGTTTGGACCTCAGAAGGGATGGTTTCTTTCTTCATTTTGATCAGTCCAGCCTATGACAGCCACCTGTGTTATACGGCCACTTTTCTTCTTGACAATGGGCCATGGGTGGCCGCTTTGTAAGTCAGAAGAATTTAAAAGACTACTCCACCTCCGTTTTTCATTCCAATGATGTTATGACATGACAAGGTGTCACAAGGCAAGGGCCTGTTCGATAAAAAGTAAAGGGGCCGGCAGATTTCAACACTTTAACGCACAATAACGAATTCTGATTGAATCATACTCAGCTTACCCAACTACACAGATTTAAATGGCCTGTGGGCAGTGACCAGAGCTTTATGCAAAACGACTATATAAAAGTCACCAAGGCTATGTTTGGAAACTTGTGAAGAGTGAAGAAGAGGGAAGTACGAGAACAGTGCAAGGAAAGAGATTTTCTGTGAAATGAAACCAACTTTCCTTGCCGCAAAACGTACAAACAGTACTTCGTAGATATCTATTTCATAATATTGTTATTGATACCACCGTTTGACCGCTGTATCAAACTTTTTTTGAAGAACCCCCTTTGAATCGAAGGTTACGCACACGTATAATAATTACCTTAATTATGTATTCTCTCTCTCTCTCTCTCTCTCTCTCTCTCTCTCTCTCTCTCTCTCTCTCTCTCCCCCCCTCCTCCCCTTCTCTCTCTCTCTCTCTCTCTCTCTCTCTCTCTCTCTCTCTCTCTCTCTCTCTCTCTCTCTCTCTCTCTCTCTCTCTCTCTCTCTCTCACACACACACACACACACACACACACACACACACACACACACACACACACCGGGGTACACTTACTCATTCACTCACTCTCACCCCCCCCCCCCCCACCCCACTTTGCTCTCTGTGTGTTTGGAAGTAAGGGAGCCAAGGGAGGAATTAAGTGCCCTCGGTGATCATTATCTGTATTTTTTTTATTTTTCGGGGGTGGGGGTACGTTTTGTCCGTTTGTAAGTTTGGATTTTTAAATTGTTTTTGTTTTAAATTTTGCTTTTGTTTATTCGTTTGCTTTCAGTTTGTTGTTGTTGTTGTTGTTGTTGTTGTTGTTTGTTTGTTTGTTTTTTTGTTTCTGTAGTTTGTTTGTGTTGTTTTTGTGTTTTTTGTGTTTTTGTTTTTGTTCTATTTTTGGGCGGGGGTGATCGAGCCTGTCGTGGACCGATTTGTTTTGTGCGCTATTGGGTTCTTCATTATTTTCGTTGGGGGCTGTATATGCCTATAGGAATGGGGCATACTATTCAATAGGCTGGGGTTTTAGTTTCCTATAGGGATGCTAGATTATTAGAGAAAAATTACATGGAGCAGAATTAAAATCTTTCGTCTGGTTTGAGCTTGACGGACATCAACTCTCTTTAACGCGTGGATGTGGGTCTTTCGTTCTGAACATGTAGCAGGTGTGATATTATAAATATATGCCCAGACAAAAGTTCGTTCAATTTATGGGAGGAACACTTTCGAATTGTTTTGTGTGCCGTAAGCAGGCATAATTGGTTTATTATGTTTTTAAAGAACAACAACAACAAAAGCACAAAAAACTACCAAAAAAACCCACCACACTCACAAAGTTGAAATAATCATCCCACCCATTAAGCACAGAGATAAACTGGCAAGTATCCTTGTTTGAACAGATTATAATAATTGTACCGCGGTACCGCTGTTTATAGCAATAATCTATCCTTATACGGGGTGCCAACTATAGCATGGGATAACCCGTCTGCCCGATCCAGCCGTAGCGGGCATGACCCCGTATTAGATCATGGGTGTGATTAGTGTGGCTCTTTTCGTCTATGCAGACAGTCAATTTGGCTTAAGATGGTCTCAATGTTATCTTCATGCAGATTCTTTCACTTTCAAGGCTAATTCTTCCTACGCTTGAATATGAAGCGCAGATTCTCTTGCACTGCTTGCATGTCAGTGAGGTGGATCGAAGCTCTGTATTTCCGCTGTTTTCCTTTCGTCGTTGGCGCTTCTCCGTCTGGTTGTTTCAGAGGCTACTATCTAGCATAATAGTTCCTTTCTTCATCATTATCATCTATGTTCTCCTGTCCTCAGCTATTTCTTCCCAGATGCTGGCTTCTACTCCAAACTTTGATTAGCTGTTTTTGCAGGTGTCTTTGCACCTCGTAGGTGTGAATAACTTTGTTTAAAATTACGAATTGTTTATCAACCAGACTACATACCTTGTCCTCAGTATTGGGGTCACTATAGTCGGAACATGTCAATGTCTGCTCCCCCCCCCCCCTCTTCAGGATCCATCCCACAGTCTGTCTGCTTTACAGTCTCCACTATAATCAGAATCTGGTTGGAGATTCGTCGGACAGGTCCGCAACCAGACTACACGTATTGTACTAGCATGATCTTGAAACAGTAAGTCCCACTATTTTAAAAAATGTAATAAGAGGTTTGGTTCCTACTATATTTCAATCTCATCAAGGTTAATTCATAAGCCTAAAGGTAATTAAAACGGACAAACTGTACACAGAAAGTAGTCTTAAAAGTGTACCATTACAAAAATATAATCTCGCCCGGAAAAGAGCGGCTATAATGATTGATTTTCTCGTAGTAGTAGTCTGCTGCTAATCCCAGATGATTGTACAACACCAACGTCAACTGTTTACTGGCAGTAGTATTATTAGCAGCAGCAACAGCAGGAGTTGGGTGAGGCTCTGTGATGAGAAGCGGGGCCTCCAAATACATACATAATGCCCAGCAGCTCCAGAAGGTATTTTTAAAAAATAGTGTAGGTTTAACGCCCCTATCAAGACTAGTAGGCTATTTTAGAAGCGGGACCTCACAGTGTTTAACGCCCGTCTCCGAAAGGACCGCGCCACATGATAAATTCGTGTTAAGTGCCTTTCTCAAAGACACAACGTCGGACAGAGTTGAAAGGAGACCATTTTAGAGGAGAAAATGTTCCTTCGCTGTCCCGGTTCGAACCCGGGACCTATTGAATGAAAGGCGAACACCGTCACCTCTCGACCACGAGAGCCCCCCCTTCAACATCTTCCTTGCAAACCATGACTGGTGTATTGAAAGACCCGAAAGGAACAGTTATCATTGGAGGCCTTGTTTGTTTGTTTGTTTGTTGAGTAAAGAGAAGCACATCGATACAAAACTACCAGTGGCACCCTCCAACCACCCGCACCATTGGAAGCTGTTTAAATTGTTAGAATTTTTAAAAAGTACATGGACACGATATCCGCTATTAACACGTAGGAAAAAAGCAAGGAAGACAGACAGAGACAGCAGAGTGAAGGAAAAGAAGTGGCCCTTTCCAATAACTACTCTCTTGGAGACAGGACAATCACCAAGTCAAATGAGGAGACCGCATCGCCAATGAAGAAGTAAATGTATTGTTAAGTAATTGTATACCGGTAGGTCTAATGTCTCTATCAATAGGGCCTACTATTAGGTTATTTAAAGTCTCCGATAGGATGGAGCCAAACGGGCACAAAATGATTTTTGTTACAAAATGCAGTCAGCGATTCGAACTAAAGCCATCAGCATGGCACATATACCAACTGAGCTGACGAAAAAATAAAAAAAAAACAACTTTGTTTTAGTAAGGTTTTACGGCGCTTGCAACTGCACAAGGTCATTGGAGCGCCAAGAGGCGGATGTCAACAGAGAAGTCAAAACGGGGAGTCAGGCTTACTCTGCTCACCTCTCTAGCCTCAACTGCATAGAGTCTGCTTTGACTATCAAGGCACCCCGGAAATAGCAGTTCACTAGAGAGTGACAAACATACAAAAGAATTAGAGGAAAATGACGATAGCAAGGATGAGGAAAGAAAAAGCAGCATTCCATCCTATGTTGTTCTGGCACAGTATGAGCATGACATTGATAAATCAGCCCATTTAGGCAAACAGACTTGGGCAAGACATTGATAAATCAGCCCATTTAGGCAAACAGACTTGGGCAAGACATTGGGCCCAAGGGAAACCTCCTTGCCATAATAAAGAAACCAACATTAAAATAATAGGGCAGTCACATTTCCAAGCCACCAAATCTTGCTGAGGTGGTCCTGCAGGGTAGGGTTCATGGTAAGAGAAGGAGCTGGAAAGACAACATCCAAAAACAGACCGGCCTTAAGCTGAACAAAGCTGAAAGAGAACTGGAGAACAGGGAGGGGAGGAGGGTGGCCAAGTCATCTATTGTGTTCGCATGATTGATCACAGCCAATAAGTGAAGTCAAGCGTAATTGAATTAGCAAATAAGTCAAGTCAAGAATAATGGAATTCAAAAAGAAATAATTGTTTACACTTTGTCATCACAAGGCTCATATAGTAAAAACCCCTGCAATCAAAGGCAAAGGCATTTTGGGGGGAATCCAAAGAAACTGAGAGGTAAACATCGTCGATTGGCGAGATATGACGGAAAAGTGTTAAAAACTGTCTATTTTATTTAAGGGTTCCCTTTATTTAAAGTAAGCAACACACAGGAAACAGCAACAAATAAACACCAGCACGAGTCCAAGACAAGGAAAATGATCAATTCGCCACTTTGTTTATTTTGTTTTCAACATCCAACATTTCCAACTTAGAATAGCACAAAAAGTCAGGACTAGATTTCACAAGCTGTTAAACAAAATATATAGTGACTGTATCTATTCATCACCGAGATTTGACCATAATTTGATGAAGAATCTTGATTATAAAAACAATACCACACTGATTATTTACTGGTAACCCAAATACATGTATATCTTTCAATATTATAAAACAAAAGAAAATTGTTTTAAACCCCACCGAAACAAGCACGAACAAAACAGTGACTCATAGGTCAAATCTGACATATCGGCAAAATAAGCACCTTAAATTAAAAGCGAAACTGAGTGAAGTATTATGTAAAGTCCTTTGAGATTTAAACGGTCTCCTTTCTACTGCGTCCAACAAAATATGAAACTAAAGACAAACTAGTCTGGCAATCTAATGGATTATTAAAACTATTGTACCTTTACTCGCACATAAAAAAAAACATGGCACATCAAAGTAAAGATTAAAAAACAAAATAACATCTCAATCCTTCAAGTACTCATGCGGCCTTCTGCAGTTCAAGCACTGTAATACAATTTTCATTGGTCTAAATTCAAACCTTCCAATTCACAAGCAAAATTTTATATGTGACTGTGTCTTCGCTATTTTGACTCAGTAATCCAGAAATGGTCCTTTTCTTCACAAAGAAATTGAGCGAAATTAGTAATCTTATAAATATAGACCTCCAAGCAGAGGTAAAATTTTGAGACGCCTGGATTTGGTTTTAGGTTCCACTGTCCTTTATACAGGAAGGCTGAAACATGTCTGGCCCCTTACAACACACTCCTAACAAGAGCATTATCAACACATGGTAACGATAGCAAATACAGTGGAGTCCGCTTAAATAAAAATTTGCTAGACCCCGGAATTCCTTCAGTGCAGCCGCCTTTTTGATTTGGAGAGATTGCTCCAGTAGTGATAAAAAAAATGGGGGATTCTATTTTTTGGGGCTTACTGCTGTTATCGGATTAACTATGTTTGGTACCGGTATATATATATTGTTCCATGATGAAACTGCAAAGTTGAGATTTGATGTCTCTTTATCATGCAAATACTAATCAGCTGTAATATATAGTATACATGTATATATTGTGAAGCGCATAGAGATTGCTGTTTAGCAGGGATTTGCACTATACAAATGCTATCTATTATTAGTAATAAAATAAAAAGACAGCAGATTTGCAGCTGTGTTTGGGCCATATTCAGGTATGTGTAATAATTAGTTTTCAAAATCAGGCATATTCTAAAACAAAAAGCACTGAATACAGCCACGGTGAAATAATTCTTCAAAACAGTGGTAGAAAATCGCCCTCCCCCCCTTTCCAGCCTTTGTCACAATGTACACAGCATGAATGTTCACACCTCATACATTAACTACCCATCTACTATTTGAAGGCAATACTGTCAGAAATGGCAAAGTCACAAGGCTCAACCACAAAGTGATTCAAGGTACAAATACCTTCATGGGTGGGTATTGGACAAAGTAATATATATATATATCCAAAAACTCGCCACGGAGTAAGTAAATATAAAAATATCACATTTTATTTAAGAAATTTCAAAGTAGTGTTGGAAGTCTTGTGGTTAGGCTACCATTGTGGTTAGACTACCAGACTCGTAAGCTTGAGATTGTGGGTTTGGTGGTTTGAAGCTCAGCTCAGTCCAACATTTTTTTCAACGTTTTTTCCTCGTGAAAGGCACTTTTGACGTTCAATTTGGAGGAATTGTCTCTTAAATAACCATAAAGTTTTGCCAGGGGCATTTAATATTTAGTTTAGCACAAAGCGATTCAAAAGATGACTATTCAAAGGACTATCAAATTCAAGAAAAGAAAAAAAAAACATCTGACAGCCAACTGTCCGACATAAGTGCCTTTTCATGTAGATCAGTACAATTTACCGGCTGAATAAAAGGCAAACATGCTTCCGAGTAAACTTACTTGTTAGGGTTTTTCAGAACACAAAAGTTTAAAAAAAAAAGGATTTGATTTGGAAGATATTTCAAAAAGCATTTGATTATGCTCATCACAAAATAGCAAGAAACCTTGGTTTAAGATATCAAAATGAAATGAGCTGTACATTTGAGATCAGGTCATCAGCTAGAAAGTACAGGCAGAAAAAAGTTGAGTAATTCCAAAAAGGAAATCTTTCACAAAAGTCATACAAGTAAGAACAAAATGACATATCTGATGACAATCACGGACTGATTACCGTGCAAAATGCACATATAAATAGCTATGGAAATTTATCCTGGAAACAATTTATCAGCTGTATCTATTTCATGATATCTTATTTGAAAAAAAAAGACGATAAGAGGAAGAATATTACATTAAAACTAGGAAAAAAACCCAGATCTAAAAATGAAAAGGTTATCATATTTGACAACATGTAAAGCAAAAAACTACTTCTCGTTGGTTGGACAAGTTCTGTGGCAATCTGCAGGCTCTTGAAGAGAATGTTGTGTTCATGAAGATGTCCAGCATCGCCATATGAAGAACAGAGAAGCAAAATTCAAGCCCAGACTTGAAGCCCAGACTTGAAGCCCAGACTTGCTTTAATACATCGAGTATTGTTCAGCACAGCAAGTCCTCAAACTGACACATTTGCTTCATATCTCTCTCTCAGACAACAACTCTTGGGTAATTTCTTACTGACTGAATTCAGTATCAGTCTAGGAATCAACAAAAACTTAAAATACAGTTGAACCTGCTCTAACAGCCACATGTCTAAGACAATCATGATGTGCAAACTGCCAGCCCCCCCCCCCAGCATTTTTTTTCTAAATTATATTGATATTGTACAAGACATCCACCTGTCTAGGACAACCGCATCTCTCCTCAATTATGTGCGGGCGTCTTGTGTACCATTTCGACTATGTACTGATCTGGAAAACACTATATTCTCATCTCACCAACTCAAACACGAGAACTATATCAAAGCAAAGCCGACTCCCTTCAAGCAAAGACATATTTCATGTTCAAGCAAATACATGTTTCACAGGAGGAAAAAAAACAAACTTCCACATGAAAACCAGCAGTAATCTGCCAGTAACAACATAACCTAGCTACAAAAGTGTTCAGTAAACAGTGGAGGAGGTCAACAATGAGCAACAAAGGTTTTGATATGGAAATGGTTGGAGACATTGTCAATCTCCAGAAAATTTGACAGAGAAAAACAATCTCATCTCTTCAAAGGTGTCATGAATTCAGTTACAAAAGTTCAAGAAAACAATATTTTGGTTTCAGTTTCTTCTGCATAATTAACTTTCATACACAACAGCCAAGATCTGCCAGAAGCAAATTCTTCCCTGAAAATCTAAGACAGACCCAAGAAAGGAAATTCCTGTAGAAACACTCACGAATCAACTAAACAGCATTAAAACACAAAATGTTTCTGGTCAGACAGTACGTCAATACTAGATTTCTATATCGAGTGTAAACTTCCAATAAAGTTGTTTGGACCACAGGGATAACTGTCCTTTAACATTCCAGGGTATGTTATAAACATGTATAAGGACAATATTATATCTCTGAAGAAGGGAGGTACATACAAAAAACATCTAAGAAGGAACAACAGAGAAATATAGCATTCAAAATCTTGGCTGTGTTCTCACAAATGAGAAGTCATAGGTCAAAGGAAGACCTGCGTGGGAATAATTGGCATACTTGCCAGTCCATGAAAAGGGTGGAAAGTCATTCCCAAGAGTGGGGCCATTAATAATGTCAGCCTGGAATGCTTTCGCCATCGCAAGATCAGCAACCTGCAAAACAAAATAAAATGATCACATCAGTACAGCATTTCAACTGACTGACTCACAAACAGCATTTCATTGATGTGATTCTAATACCATGGGAGCTTCAATCTGCAGATGCAACTGATTTTCAGACATTGTTAATATACTCTTATTAAAGCAGAGTGTCTCTAGCCTTTCAGTAAGTCACTTTTATAGTGCAGGGCACCAATGGGCCAACTTCGACATTTTCTAGAATCTGTTTTTTAATACATCTTTGCAAAGTAAACTCAAAACATCATCTCTATTAACTTGAATATTGGTTGTTGTTTTTTTCAAGTGTTTTTTTTTAAAATTTCTTTGTATCAGACTTGAATTGGTCAATGATAGTTTGAGTAAACAGTTTTTTACCTCTGCTGTAAAATAAGCTTCCTGGAAGTTGACCCATTAGTGCCTGACACCAAAGATAATATGATATTTTCCGTGGTTCTCTTGCCAAGATACCTGACCAGTTTCTTATATTTGTATCCAATTGCAAAAGCGCAGCACAGTATTTTGAAAACTCCAAGCTCACTACTTTTAGAATATGCAATAAGCAGTAAAAAAAAAAAGATATACCAAAGAAATATGATTTACTAGCATTATCAAAACAACTACCTTTGTGTCATAGCAGCCATCAGGCATTGTCATACCCTTCACGAGATCGCCACGGGAACAGATTGCACCCCAAGGACTGCCGTAACTGTATGGGTCGTTCTTGTAGTCTGGAATAGAAAGACAATAGATTCAGAAGAACTTCATAACTAGTGATGCTGTTTGTTCATTTGGTTTTTAGTTTGTTTTAGTAAGTTTCATGGCACTAGCAACACACTTAGGTCATCCGAAGATCAACTTTACTGTTGGGACCTGTAAAGAAGAAGAGGTGCTGGGACCTGAGTAAAAGATCAACTGAACCGAAGATCTAATCAAGCGAGTTCAACACAAGTGGAGAGGACAGTAGAAAGATTATTGATCTAAGAGAGCTAAACCATTAATCCAGCTCTGATCGCCCTAGAAACAGATAAGTATGTGTTTTCATATTGTAGGGACAACTTATGTATACACACAAGACCTCCACCACAGCACCCTACGCTGCACAGAGCTCCAATATAATAATAAAATCTTTGGATATTGGGTTCCCAGTTCTTATCCTACAGTATTCATCAAGGACTCTTAAGAGTCTATGCTTATTCACAAATATTTTGTATACCCCCCCCCCCCACTAAATAAAAATAAAAACAAGGGGTAGGCAATTGCTTAGGACAATTTTTACTGTACTAAGAAACTGTATGTCTAGGCTGAATAAGAAAATGTATGATTCCACTGTTATAAGAAACTGTTTGTTTCTGCAGTACTAAGAAACTGTATGTTTTCACTGTATAAGAAACTGTATGTTTCGACGGTTTAAGAAACTGTATGTTTCCACTGTAGTATAAGAAACTGTATGTTTCGACTATATAAAGAAACAGTACGTTTCCACTGTATAAGAAACTAAAAAGGCCTAGATGGTAGATAACAATCTGTGGCATACCATTGTATCTCATGATGGCCTTCATGGATTCCATGTCCTTGACCTTGCCTTGATCTCTGCGGAATATGGAGGCCCTAGGAGCCAAGTCATAGGTGTACTGAATGCCATGCTTCTTCACATACTCGGGGTAGCCACTTTTCACGAATATCTCCTCAAAAAATGGAATGTTGTACGATGGGAAATATCCTGAAATAAAAACAGCACGAAATAGCATGAAGACTGACCAACCACCACGGCCCAAATTTCATGGTGCTTTTTATATAACAACAGAATTGTTAACTCTTATTAGCCAGAATTAAATTAATGGTTTTTCTTGAACAACTTTTAAGTGTCAATTCTCATTAAGAAAGAATATTTCATCATGTCTTCATTCAACTTGCCCAGAATCATAAACATGGATTTGGAGGACTGAACAGGAATGTGTTTCTAATTTCTAAGGGAAGTGAAAATGACACATTCTGTGTTTTTCTGGCGAACATGGGAAAATGGAAACAACAGGGAGTGTGTCACTCAGGCCAGTAGAGTTAATACTCTCCACAAAAAAAAATATACACACACCACATACACACACACACCACATACACACACACACACACACACACAAACACACCCACCCACCCACACACAGACAGACAGACAGATTGTGGGTCAGCAGTTCAAATGTACTAAGCCCAAAAAACAACATTTTCCAGGAGAGAGACAAAAACTAAAAACTATTACAAGTTGTACCTATGCATTTTTCCTGACTGTTTTTTTTTTCAACACTTAGAAAATGGGAGTCATGTCTCTCGGGCAAAAAAATACTGTCAGGGTAATCTCTTCATTTGTACTTTCTCTTAATGAATTAATTGTCAGGATTTTACACCATAATCTTTACAGTACAGGAGGGGATTTGAGGGGTGGGCTGCTTTAACCTGCCTGTCCGAACTGACTTGGGCAGGGAAGGATACAGCATCTCAGCAGACACAGATGTAGATGCTCAGTAAAAAACCTCCCCACATGAGATTCAAACTCATGCCTTCTATGAGCAAATACGAAGAGTATACTGATTACACCATACACACCCGCTTTTTAACTTGTAACTAACTACACAATTCCAAATAAAAAAACGAACAGTACCTTTATTCTTATCAGAAAAAACTGTTCACCTTCATAAAAAGCTACATAGTCTCACAGAGAGCAATGTTAATCAACAGCAGGAAGAAATACTTGTGGTCAAGCCATCAGCCCATCTGGAGTGGTGTGACAACTTACGGGTCTAGGGTTCAAACCCGGGTCATCCGTGTGAGAGCAGAGTGCACCAACCACTCGTTCACACCACCACCTGTACACAGAGTCATATTGACATTTATTTAACATACATCCTGTCTGTTTTCATCTGAGGTGATTGAAGAAGAACTTTATCACAAAACAAACATTCACAGAATTCACCAGTTTTAAATTAGCAAGCTGTACATGACAAACAAAATCCCCCCCCCCCCCCCCCATTCCTCTCTCTCTCTCCAGTTAGTCACAGAGCAATACCACACTGGATTCCAAAGATATAACTTATCACTCTTATCGCTCTCACATTATTTGTAAAAGAAGGGTATTGACCCTACCACCAGAGTGTCAGTGTCTCACTCATGTGGTGTTGGTAGTCTTGTGGCTAGGCTACTGAACTTTTAATCTTGAAGTTGCGGGTTCAGGGGTTTGAGCCTCAGGACTGACATAGTGTGCTCGGGAAAGGGACTTTGCACAAATTTTACTCACTTCATCCAGATGTGAATGGGTACCCGGCCATAGACAGCGAAAGATCTTGTCAGTATGTTAATGTTTTAATGCCTATAGAATGGCAGCTTGCCCTGTACAGGAAATTGACATTGTTTCAGTGCTATCAGGTCTGCTGGGGTAATATAGATTGTAAAGCGCATAGAGCTTGCTGTTGAGCGGGACTCTGCGCCATACAAAGGCTGTCTGTTATCTATTATAATTATTATCCTGAAAATACCATTTACGTTTTATTTAAACAATAAACAAAGACTGTTACTGACACGCACTAAACTATCATTATAAATGTGAATCCCGGCTATTTTCAGCTCAGTAACAGAATGGAAAGCGACAAAAAATATCTCATAATCTCTATTAAAAAGTGAAGTCCCTTCAAGTTCTGACAGGCTCTCTGAGCCAGGGCTTTGTTTGAGTTCAGCAGTGTGAAGCAAAACAGATGTTACCATATTCCTACCTGTCCTGGAATAAAGTGTCACTTGTCTAAACCCTAGCTAGGGTACTGCCAAAGTCATGGTATACGAAGAATACAAAAGTAAAACTGGTGACGTTCATACTGTAGTCCCTTTATTCAAATCCCCTTTGTGCAACATAATGATGATATAAAAAAATGAAAGCCGTCTAAATTGATCACAAATATGAATATTTCAACAGTTACACTAGTAGAAAACCAAACTTCAAAGAGTTTTATACACATGAAAGAAACAGGAAGTCTCTGAATCTAAATGTTCAGTTAGCAGGAACATGTAACATACCAGTTTTTCTTTCCCCTGCAGAATTCATTTGTGTTGTGTGATACAGACACAAATCTAAGATTTGCTATTAACTAAAAGACATAAACTTTGTACAAAAGCTTAAACACAAGAAACTGCTTGAGCTGCAACTTTTACACAACTTTTGTATCATTTTTTCCACACATACAGCCTCTTGCAGCTTCATATGTTGTTAATCAAGTGAATGGGTATAAACTCAGAATGCTGCCCAGGTGAAATGGGGTCCCATCTGCAAGAGAGTTTCTAAATAATTTAAACCATGACGGCTTGGAGATTCTTTGACACATTTCTGCTGTGCATCCAATTCATGTCAAATTTTGATACGATGTAGTTTTGCTTCTTTGAATATACCTACAGTCCATGCCGGTCAAACCATGTGAACCTCTGTTTGTTAGAATAAGGAGACAGGGCCCAATAAAAGCCATTCAGACCAAGGAAAAAGCAAAAACGCCAGACAGAAGAAACACAGAAAAAACAAAGAAGTAAGAAGCAGGACCTACCAGTGGAGCCCTCCTACTACCCACAAGTCTTTGCTTCCCCCCCCAGATGTTCACATTTAAATGAGAGGTATGCTAATGAACGACCACTGAAGGGATCAAAGCCTTTTTCAGTTTGAGTCGATCATGATACACTATAATATAGGAAGATTTATCAAATTTTTAATTTGTTTGTTTGAATAAAGAATAGCACTCTGACCAAAAAAAACCCCAGTCGTATAGTTCAGGTAAAACTAAAACTAATAAACAGAAACAGCAGAGAGACAGCGAAGAAGTAAAACCTACCAGAAGCAGCATCCAACCAACCACACAACATTGGATACCTCCCTCCCCCCCCTTCAAACCACCCCAAACTCATCTAACATGCGATCAGAAAACAAAATCAAACATACCTAATACATGTGTACAGAATGTCTAACATCCACAGCCCCCCCACCACCAAAAAAAAAGAAAGAAAAACAACAACAAACTCATCTGACATTCAATAAAAAACCAAACAAAAGCTTACTTGATTACAGAATGTCTCACATTCTCATATCCACAACCTCCTGCCCCCCTCCCTTTCCTCCTCTCAAACCCATCTTACATACAAATTTAAAAAAAAAGAAAACAACAAAAGCACACAACATACAAGTGTATACAGAATATCTCACTCTCACAGCCCCCCACCCCTCCCCCTCATACCTGCTCTCAGGATAGGCGTGGTGTCCTCGGCCACCACCAGCCCAGGAATCTGCTCAGCCACCCACAAAGTGTTGTCAGGCAACGGCTTCTTGGGAGTGATCAGTTTGAGGTCCAGGACCATGTACTGGTTGTTGTAGGAGCCTGGGACACAAATACAGAGACAAAGAGAAGGTTTGTTTTACTAGTATTAGTAAGTGTTTTACGGCACTTGCAACACAATTAGGTCATATAAGTGCCGAAGATTAAAGGTGTTACAAGAGAGTAACAAACACGAAAAAGAGGGAGGGGAGAAAAGGACGATAGATGTCTGATAGGAAAGAAAAAGCAAACCACACCAGAGCACCTGCCAACCACCCACACAAAGAGAATAAAGGCGTGCCACACCTAGAGATGTTTCTTCATTTACGGTCAAAATTATCCAAGAACACCACTAACTATCGAGGAGAAAAGCGATCGTCTTAGATATGTGGACGTCATGGGCAGGACAGATGAAAATGAAGAAAACAGACCATTTTCTTCTGAGGTCCCAACTGGAGGTGTTTGAATGTTTCAGACTGAAGTAAGGCCCGTTAAAATCTTTCTTTTTTTATTCGAGGGAGGGTGTGTGTCAGTATGTAAGTGTGTGTGTATGTTTGTGCCTGTGTGTGAATGGGAATGTGTGTGTGTGTGTGTGTGTGTGAGTGTATGAGTGTGTGTGTGTGTGTCTGTGTGTGTGTGTGTCTGTGTGTGTGTGTGTGTGTGTGTGTGTGAGTGTGCTTACTTGTCTGTCCATCTGTCTATGTGCTTGTTTGTATGTTTATAAGTGCATATCAGCATTTGTCTGTCTGTGTATGTTTTTCAATATGTGTCTCTCAATGTGGGTCTGTGAGTGTTTGAAAAGAAATGCCCAGGGAGGGGGGCAGTAAAAGTTAAAGGGCATGGGATAAAACAAAGAAATAGACCAACACCACTCAGCAAGCAAAAGACATGTTGATTTCTTTAAAAAACTTTAAAAAAATTGCAGAAGGATGAAAGAAGACAAACAATTATGAAACTTTCATATTTTTCATTTGAGTTTTGAGGTTGATTAATGACAAGAACATTAACACAATTAGAACGAACTTGTAATGCAGGGAAAGAGTAAAGCAGGCAGACAACTGTGGGAAAGATAAAAAGTAGGGCCTACCTGTGGCGCCTTCAAATCCACCCCCTTACTCACCTGAGTTGTATTTCGCAATAACTTGTGCCCATTCTTTCCCTCCGTGGGCCATCATGTTAGCAATGCGGACCCTCTGCCAGGCTAGCAGGGCTTGTGGGGTGACATATTTGTGGAGGGTTTTGTTGAAGATATTGTTGGTGGTCTGAAGCATCACAAGACCACTGTCCATTTGGTAAAAGTCATCGAGAGATTCCAAATATCCTGGAAAAGCATATATAAATCCTTATCTCCGAAAAAAACATAAGATAGTATTCAAGAAAGGGGTTCTTGTTTTTCAAGCAGTGTGGTGTTCACCTCTCATTCAAAAGGGTCCTGGGATTCAAACTTGACAGCACCGAAAAAAATTTTCTCCATTCAAGTTCTTTATTCCTATTCTGTCATCTGCTTTCATTTTCACTTTATTACAAAGTATCCCCCCCCCCCGCCATGCTACATTACGATAGGCCAGTTGTTTCCTACTCCTGTAAGACATAGCACTAGCTCCACTGGGACCCCAAATCCATGCACCTTCAGGAGAAAAAAAAAAAGGGGGGGGGGGCCCACACAACAGCAACCTTACTTTCACCAAATTTCTTACCTCCATAACTAGAAAACGACACCCTTTTAGCCGCTGTACTTGGATCATCAACATTGAAATTGTAGTGCTTGTAAATTCTGTTTGTGGCTTGATAGGCAAACCAGCTGGAGTGAGACATGAAGATGTTCTCATAGCCTGGGAGGATCTGCAACGAACACAAGAATAAGTCAACAGGATTCTTCTATTGGCTGATAAAGGTTTTTTTCTTCTAATTTTACCATTTCAAACTTGATCTTCAGAGCCCGCACAGGACACTTATACACCAACAAGCACATAAACAGAATTAATCCCATGTGGGAACCCCATTGCAAACACTGTGACTTCCACGAGGAGACCGTTGAACATCTTCTCCTTCACTGCCCAAACCTGGCAGTTTTTCGATGCAGGCTCCTACACACACCTACAGACTTACAAAGCCTGCTCTACTCTGGCGTTGACCAGATGACAAGAACATGCGGTTCTTGAGGGAGGCACTGCGCTGCCAAGAGCGAAACGCTCGCAGCTAAAGGGATTTGAAAACAACAACAACAACCATTTCAAAATGTCAAACATAGGCCCTCTCACTTAATGAGACACAATATATTTCTACTTATTACGCAAAACAAGACCGCAGCATTCATAATTTTAAAAACTGTTATTGTAATTGTAAGTGTTTGACACCCTCACTGCCATGATCTAGATGATTTAGGAGGTGGGCTGCATCAACCCTGCCAGTCAGGACCAGCCCAGGCTGAGTGGGATACAGCATCCCAGCAGATAAATAGAGAGACTCAAAAAAAAAAGCGTTCTCGCGTTGGAATTAAACTTACATTATCTTTGTGCCACAGTAAGGAATCTAACCTTTACACCACAGATGCCTGTTCACTGAGCCTACTATGCTATATCATATAGGCTACATATATCACTACTAGCCATAATACATAATGTTTACCCATGTGAACAATGCAAATGTCATGATTTTTATCAGCAAAACTACACCGCTACCAATACACAGAGAATGCATAGACAGATTAAATTAGTACTATTTTGGCATTCTTCACTCCTCCAATTTCCATTTCACTGACAGTCATCTCTGTAGAGATAATTGTAAACCGAGCAACTGTTAAGTGAATGGGAACAACGTGCTTCTGCGTGGTCAGCTCCTTTTATTTTTAGTTTTTCTCAGAGTTACAATTCTTCACCTAATTTGTCCTTGTTTATTAAGAGTTTTATGGCTCTTACAACACAAATGGGTCAACTGCCAAAGATAAAAGGTGTTACAAGAGATGTAACAAACACAAAAAAAGAAAGAGAGATAAGGATAATAGATGTTTGACGGGAGAGAAGGAGCAAACCACACTAGAGCACCCACCAACCATCCATAATTTGTCCATTAAGAAAAGAGGCTAAGGTCTTGATGATAACCCATACTTTGAGTCTGGGTATAGAGATGTACATTGACACAAAAAGTAATCTATGGCAGGACAAATGTAAGACATATAGACAGAAACAAAGAACAGTAAAAGCATGAACTTTCAATATGGCAGATAAAAACTACAATTCAACTACAACCCTGAAAAACATCAATTATGCTGCCTCAACAACTCGGCAACAAGATCACATCTAGATCTACAGTCTATCTAACAAAAACTTTGAACCAACATCAGACACACTGCATACCTTAATCAAAGCTGAACAGTGTCCATTCGTGTAGAAAAAGTTTGCTGCCTCATCAGCTGTGAATGTTGTCCAGTCTGGCGACTCAGAAGGTTGAAGTACAGTCATTATATCAAACAGATCCCCGTTGGCATTGAGGAAGTTGATGGCAAAGAAATCAAGTGCAGTCTGAAAGTGGAACAAAACAATTTGCATTCTTATCACCAATATGAAAACACATTTTCTGTTTGAGGTGCAAAAACAGATAGAGTTTAAGAAAAATGCAGAACCTTACATAATTATGCATACGCTAAGGTCAACATACATCACTAATTAGCATTTAGCATTGTGCTTTTGTCGTTTGTAAAAGTTTTTTTTGGAAATAGACAAGTCTTCTCTCATGGACAGTCTGCTACTGCAAACCCACACAGAACTGGCTTGAGGACAAAGTGTCAAGGAGAGAACATGTTTAGAAAGTTTTAGAACATTTACAACATTAGATCATATAAGTCCCGAAATAGCGCCCCTTTCAACACAGTAAGGTATTTAAGAAGAAGGATTTCTGAATCTACTACATATATTTCTGACTGCAACAAGCAAAATGTTTCAAACATTTAAAAATCAAGAAGCCTTATTGGGGATTTGAACCATGCTCCAACGTAGCTGACCACCAAACTTACAGGCTCCTGTCCTTATTGTTTCAATTTTTTAACAAGAGTACTCCTCCCTATAAACACACACTAATCATGCTTTTATAGGCATTATTAGCTGAAGACAGAAGGCAAAAGAGGCAGAGGTGACAAAGAAGAACATACTGAGAGAACTTGAATAAATGGATGATCAAAAGAGACCAGGATAATAATATAGTCTATTTAGGAGCTTGTGAGCAGACAAATGTGTGACAAACAAAGGCCGTTGCTGTCAGTTTCAGATCTGGCCCTTAAAGACAAAGATGAAGAATGAGAAGAAGAATGTACCACTTTCACACAAGATCTTATGCTTTACTTCAGTCTTACCTTGTCTGCTCCTCGAACACTCTTATACCCTGCATATAGGCCATCCAACTGAGCAAAAATGTACGACGAATGGCGCCACAGTGGATCATCTGGGTAATTGGAAGCCATTTGATCAGCCCAAGCCCTCTGTGTGGTAAACCATTTCTCCAGTTTCTGCTGCATACTTTTATCAGGCTTTGGGAAGAAAACGCTGAACAAGTTGGTAAACTGGGATTCCATTTGCCTGAAAGACAAGTAAAACTAAGCAAAACGTGTGCATAACATGCCTTCTTCAGAAGAAATGACATGATGTCTTTAGACATGATATGTTGTTGGCATAATGATCTACCAGAATGTATTATGGACCAATGAATCTAAAATTAGGAGCATTTTAGTTAAGAATATTTTTTGTAATGAAAATTCACAGCCTTACTGTAAATAAACACAGCAACATAAGATGGAAGGTTATTTTTAAACAATCTTATCCTCAGGTTAGGACTCTGCTGCCAGAGCAGAAATATACCAGTTTATGACTCAAGCCCCACCACAACCATACACTTGCCCTTAGGGAACTACAAAGCAAGAAGACTGACTACAAAGTGTACAAATATATATAGTACATAATATATATGACAAAGTTTGTGCTAAATTGTAATTAAAAAAAAAAAAGAATTTTCCTCAAGCCAAGGTGTTCTTCCTCCCTGAAATTAGTATTCATTACATACCTTTTATTCTTCAGCCCCAAAAAAAGAAAATGTCTGCCGAACCATCATCCCATACTTTTGGAATTCAAACCCCCCTCCCACCTCATTACAATAACATCACTTTCACTAGTCACTAGACAGAAGCAATTTGTCCAACCTGAAAGTCAAAACTCCTTCCATGAAGCCAGCCGCATACATGATCTCCTCATTGGTTTGACTAGGGCCAAAGCCAGAGCTGATGTCCAGAATACCCCAGCCAGTGGAGAGAAGAGTATCGTTGAAGGCTCCAACTGCTGTGGCACCATGCCAGTCTAAGGTTCCGCTTACAAATTTGCAGTCTCTTTTCTTGCAGTATACACTGCCATCTTGAAAAGAGCCTGTACAATTAAATTAAATAAAATTCAATGAAAAAAACAACAACTAACAAAAGGTCCATAAAACTTGTTATGCAGTTATTAACAGACAAACCCACAGCATTTCTTTTAGGTCTACACAACTTCCTTGATGCCTGATTTCCATGCTTTTGTTCATGTGCTTAAGAAAAACAAATTTGAAAAGATTCATTATCATGAAGAATCGGATCTGAAACAGACATTGATGATCATGTATGGCCATTCATTTTTTTGTTCGATGCTCTTAAAAAAACCTATGTCATCACAGTCTTTCAACATAACTAATTTGTTCAGGTTCTCTAATAAATACAGTGGGTCCCAGCTATGACAGGACCACCAGGACTGACATAATGTCTCTGTTATTATAACCGAACCCTGTTATAGTCAGGGATCAAGTTTACATACACTAACTAATGATTAACGAATGGGTTCACTTTTATAAACACATAAATAATCCTCACTTTCATACACTTTGAATGGATATGCATTTAACCTTCATATTCATCAGAAGTCTGTGATGACCATCCAACTTAAACTATGAAAAGATGTGTTGTGTCCATTGTGCTAATCAACATAAGCATTGATAGTCATAATGTTAGATTATAAGAGTCTGATCAAGTTCAGTTTAGTTGCCAGTCTACTGTGATGTTCCAAGTTTAGATGCCAGATCTGTCTGACGACTGGTTTTGTTGAGGGTCGACCACGGTATCAAAATTTCTTTTCTCATATTATTATGTTTATATAAATACTATATAGGCTTAATGTGATTATCACTGGACGTATAGTAAAGATGGTGTGTGTGTTTGTGCGTGCGCGTGTGTGTGTGCGTGCGATTGTGTGTGTGTCTGTGTGTGTGAGCAGGCGAATGTGTTGTGAAGGGAGGGCTGGCCGACAGATTTCTAGAAAATAGTCCCCTGGTGTCACTTATTGCTCACCCTTCTTGAGTTCTTGTCAATCATAATCTTTACCGCTGCAAAATTGTTTGATCTGAATGGTACAACAAATTGAAGCAATACACCCACTGTAAACGCCACATACTGTCTTTGATCTAAATCAGAAAGAGACAGAGAGAGAGAGAAGAGGGGAGGAGTTGATCTAGCGAGAACTTCCGGGTGGGTGAGAATAGCCACAAGACTCGCCTGCACTATTCTCACTCCGGGTGAGAATAGAGGTGGCCACTACTACTACTACAACTGCTGCTGCTACTCCTCCTCCTCCTACTACTACTACTGGATTCTTA